GTCAAATAGAAATATGGTTAGAATTGTTTTAGAATGTAGAAGTAGGTGTCAGTCCAGAAGGGAATCGAAAAATTAAAGATAGCTTTATGGAGTAAGCTATCCTTTAAGCTGTATGCACAAAGACATACAGGCTTTTGAAAGGTCTTGTATGGGGAAAAGTATATTCTAGGCATAGTGAGTAGTGAGTGGCAGATAAGGGGCTCAGCTGAAGCAGAGGCTGTAGAATGAAAAGGAAGACAGCAGTGGAAGAACCAGGCAGAGCTGGAGGGGCTGGGCTGCAGCAAGGAGCAGAGGCAGAAGGCAGAGATGACATCCAGGTAACCTACATGCTGAAGATGGTCAGAAATTCTGAATTTCTGAAGTCCATGAGAAAGCCATTGCATGAGAAAGAAGGCCAGCGACCTTGAAGTTGCTTCCAAATGTGACTCTGTGGCTTTCTCCTGTGGTTCTTTGTACACTCTGGTGCTTCTTCATGTGATCAAAATTAGAATATATTCATTGTTGGTCAAGCAAGAGCCTACCTTTGTTCCATCATCCAGGAATTTTCAGTCTGTCTGCTTTTATTTGCTGCCCTAATAATAACAAAGGGCCCAGACTTGGACTGAATTGATACTGCAAATCATCAGAACCAGCCTTCCCAAGCATAAGGAGGATTTTGCCCCTACCCTCAGGTAATCCTGGCTGTGAACATGATGTTCTTGGAGTTGTTTTTTAAATAGCCTTGTTCTGTTTTCAAATATTTACCCATTTAAGCAACTCGCTATTTAATACTGAAGGGGTATTTGTTCTGCTGTCTGGCACCTGGATCCTGAGGTAGAGCTTTTTTCTAGGTCTTAGTCCATCTTTTCATGTTAGAAAAATTAATTTTTTACTCTGAACAAATTCACTTATATCTACCATTCTTGTTACAAGTTATGCAAAAGACCCTGGAGGGATTGTGATATGTTTTTAGGTGAGTTTTGAGGTATGTTTTTGTGTCCCTAGTCCAGAAGGACATCCCCATAGTAGTAAGTTCACACCCAAGAGCCTGAAAGTTGTTTGCACATTGCACTTCAAGTCCCGAGTTTTAGGGTTTTTTTCCACAACGATTCATATGCACACATATAGCGGGCCCCATGTCTGGACTCCAGCCCACACAGAGTTATTTGCCAATTCCAAAGAAGCAGAGAATGAAGATACTCATGCCCCATCATCCATCATTTTTTTCTATGAACCTTACAGCTGAATATTGAAAAATCTGGTTTTGATCTTTTGGGTATTTTTTTTTTTCATTTCAAGTCAACTGAATAGCCCATACACATGGATATAAAGAAATATAACCAGGAGTTGTTTGTGGTATTGAATCAGAACTGGAGACATCTGAAGTCAAGCCACTTCAGTAGTGTTTCTTATTTCTTTTTAATCAGATTTTGAATATTCTTTCTGCAGGTTGTGTTCCTGACTGGCTTTGGCTATGTGTATGTGGACACTGTACATCAGTGTGGCACAGTCTTCATCACTGTGGCCCCAGAAGGAAAAGCAGGACCTATTTTAACCAACAGCAATAGGTAGGTTTAATTATTTTCCCTGTAACAACATAGTAAGTGTTCCTGTTATAAAGTTGTAAACTTACTATTTATCTTTGTCATCTCTACATATGTATTAAAGCTTTTTGTTAATTATCGCATAATCCATAAAAAATATGGTTATTACCAATAAATCATACCTTCAATAGGTAGCAATAAACCATCTTTCCTAGATACCACTTCCACTCCTTCTGTGGTAGGTTTAACAAACTGATTTACAAACTATGCATCTTGGAATCATACCACTATTATTAGCATGAAATGCACATTAATACCTCTGTATCTGCATGACAGTGTAGTAATTACTAATAAAACTTAGAGCTACATCAAATATAAATACGCCTCTTAGAGTCATATTTTCCACCCCCACTTTGACCTGAATGTTGCCATCAGGTTTTAAAAACTTGAAATAGACAAAGAGTTAATATTCTTAATTTAAAAGAATTCACATAATTCAATAGGAATAAAGATAGCCTTACAGAAACAAAAATAGAGGCAATAGGCATAAACAGAAAATTCTAAGAAGAGGAAATATAAGTAATCAAAGAAATGCTAATTTATCAAATTAACAATGATGTCGTATCATATCCAGTCCTGGTGAAAGTGTAAATTGGTACTATTTCCTGGAAAGCACTTTAGTAATACATGTTAAGAGCTTTAAAATCCTTTTGGCTTAGAAATTCCACTTTTAAGTGTGTTAAGAGTTTAAGAGTTAAGGAAGTAGAGAAGTGGGCAAAGATATACACAGAGAGATGTACACAGTGAGAGATACCACACAATTACAATGGCAAAATATTCAAAGTAAAAATGCCCATCCATAGGGAAATAGATGTACTATAATTGTACTATAAATGTTACAACTGCAAAAAGTAGATCTCAAAGAATTTTAATGGAATAGAAAATGCATATTATATAATCTAAAAACAAGTAGAATATAATATTGAATATATATGATCCTAGTTATGTGTTATCTGTACATACATACACACATAAGTACATATGTATACATACTCACACAGAAAACATTCCTAGAAATAAGACTGAAAAGAAAACAATCAAAATTGGTAACAGATATGGGGGGGTTAATGAGTTATTTAATATTTAATTATTATTTGATTTCTGTATTTTGATTTCTTATAATAGCATTTATTTTATGATCAGAAAAAATAATTTAATATTAAAATATAAATACCACCAACTTCCATACATTTGTTTAAATCTTTCTTTTAAAAAGTTCATTGCAACCGGGTGTGGTGGCTCACACCTGTAATCCCAGCACTTTGGGAGGCCGAGGTGGGCAGATCACCTGAGGTCAGGAGTTTGAGATCAGCCTGGCCAACATGGTGAAACCCTGTCTCTACTAAAAGGACAAAAACTAGCCAGCCTTGGTGGTAGGTGCCTGTAATCCCAGCTATTCAAGAGGCTGAGGCAGGAGAATCACTTGAACCCAGGAGGCGGAGGTTGCAGTGAGCCAAGATCACGCCACTGCACTCCAGCCTGGGCAACAGAGCGAAACTCCATCTCAGTTTGGGCGGGGGGGAGGTTTATTGCTTCTCATATATGGTTAAGAAGTCATTAATTTGGATTCTGCTCATTTGAATTTATAATATTTCAAACAATGTTGGATAGGATGTTTTCTTTGCCCAAAAGTGTTCATAAAAAATTAATAGCATAACAAAATTGGAGATGAACTTTTAACTAGTATAGTATAAAATTTCAGGTTTATTCAACACTTTCAGAAACATTTTATCTAGGGCATAAATGTTAATGACAATAGAAGCAACCTTTCATGAGAAAAGTACAGGTATTTCTTGGAACTTCCTTAATTCATTCAACAAATGTTTTACAAGGGCTTATTGGATGCCTATCACAGGATGAGGATACATCCATAAATAAAAAGGCCCAATCCTTGCCCTGGAGAAGATCACTTTCTCCTCATAGGCATGGAATTGGGCAGGGTGATGGGGGATGTAGAGAGTAAACATAAAAAGAAAGGAAATGTTATGGTGCAGTAGAAGGTCAGCATTCTACAGGGATGAAAACAGAGCTCAGTAAGAGGCGCTGGGAGTGCCAGGGCCAAGGGACTGGGAGAGTGTAGTTTTAAACTGGTGTTGGTAAGCTGCACTGAGAAGTTGATATTTGGGCGGAGACTGGAAAGCAGTAGGGGGTTAGTAATGTGACTGTCTGAAGGAAGAGCTTCCCAGGCAAAGGGCACAGCCAGTTCAAAGGCCTGCAACAACGTGCCTGGCATCGAGGAGGAACAGGGAAGAGGCTGTTGTGGGCCCAGTGGAGGGGATGGAAGTGGAAGTAGCAGTGCATGAGGTCCAGGAGGTAAGAGCTAGAAGGAGGGAGACCTCATTGGGACATTGAAGGGCTTAGCTTTAATTATAAGCGAAATGAGGAACTCACTGGAGCATTTTGAACATAGAAGTGACACACTGTGACTTAAATTTCTAGAAGATCATTGGCCGCTTTGTTAAAGTAGACTGTAGACAAACAAGGGCACAAGCAAGCAGGGAGACTAGTTAGGAGATGATTACAGTTGCTCATATTAGAGACACTGATGGCTTAGACTACAGTGGTGTCAGTGGAAGTGTCAGTGGAAGTGTCAGAAACAGATTCTGGATCTACTTCTAAGGAAAAGTCAGTGGGATTTTCCTAATACATTGAATGGCTAAAAATAGAGGCATCAAGGATGACATCCAAATTTTTGGTCTGAGCAACTGGTAGGATATGGTTGCCATTAACTAAGATGAGAGAGACTATCTGCAGGTTTAGGAGGAAAGATCAAGAGATTGGTTATAGACATGATAAGCTGAGATGTCATTTAGACATCTAAATGACCGTGTGAAAGGTAGATACACAAGATTGGAGTTCAGGGGGGAGCTCCAGGCTAAGTGTATACTTTGGAAGTCATCAACATATAGATGGTATTTTAGGTCATGAGACTGGATGAGATCCCCAAGGAAGTCAGTGAAGATGGGGGTGAGAAGAGGACCAAGGGCTGAGCCTTAGGCACTTTAAGAGGTCAGGGAGAGGAGGAGGGATCTCCATAGGTAACTGAGGACGAGTGGTCAGAGAGGTAGAAGAGCTGAGAGAAGACAAGAAAGAAAGTATTTCCAGGAGGAGGGAGTTGTCAGCAATGTCATTATTTGTTAGTATGTCGAGTAAGCAAAAACCTGAAAGTCCATCATTTGATTTAGCCAAATGGAAGTCACTGATGACCTTGACAGGAGCTGTTTTATTAGGCTGGGGATGGGGGCACAAAAGGCTGCTTGGAGCAAGCCTTAGAGAGCAGGGAAGGAGAGGAGTTGGAGACAATGTGTATAGAACACACTTTAGAGTTTCTATATAGAGAGGATCAGAAAAATGAGTGGTAGCTAAGGGAGAGAGTGGAGTCATGAGGGATTTTTTGAGCTGAGAGATGACAGCATGTTTACAAGCTGCTAGTAATGAAGAAAAAGATGATGGAGGAAAGGGGTGTGAGTTGCTGGAGGGATGTCTTTGAGTAGGTGAGAGCAGAGTGATTTAGTGCACTTTAGAGGGGTTCACCTGAGACAGAAGCAAGGGTAGTTCCACCCCAGAAATGGAGATGGAGAAGAGCTAAGCATGGACTCAGGTATGGTTGGTGGGCAGTTGTGGCAGGAATTCCTGCTAACTTTTCTTCTGCTCACGTGACTTTTTCAATTTAGGGAGTCTCAGTTACTTTTTCTCTCTTTCTGTCTTGTGATCATCATGATAGAGAATTAATACACAAAGACCAGAGGGATTTTGGAGTAAAAATCTGGTGTTGATAAGGGAAACATACGGAAACATGACAAGAGCTTATAATAGTCCCATTGGGAACATTTCCCAATACTGTTGGAGTGTGACGGGCTCCGTCCAGACACAATGTCCTGAAAGTTGAGTTCTTATTTGTTTCTTATGAGAGTCTGATATCCCATCAGGAGGTATTTAATAGGGTACTGTCATTAAAAAAGAAAGAAGAGAGAAAGAAAAGGTGAGTGGGGGAGACTAATGTTCTTGTCCCTTTCTCTTCTAGAGCCCAGGAGAAGATTGTTACATTCAAAATGTTTATCACTCAGTTGAGTCTGGCAGTGTTTGATGACCTCACCCACCACAAAGCATCACCTGAACTTCTGAGACTCACACTGGACAATGTTTTTCTCTGCATGGCCCCAGGAGCTGGTCCCCTCCCTAGGGAAGAGCCTGCGGCTGCGCTGTTTGAACTTTACTGTGTGGAGATCTGCTGTGGGGACCTGCAGCTAGACAACCAGCTTTATAACAAATCCAATTTCCACTTTGCTGTCTTAGTCTGCCAGGGAGAAAAAGCAGAACCCATTCAGTGTTCTAAAATGCAGAGTCTCCTCATATCTAACAAAGAGCTGGAAGAATACAAGGAAAACTGTTTTATCAAACTTTGCATCACCTTAAATGAAGGCAAGAGCATCCTCTGTGATATTAACGAGTTCAGCTTTGAATTAAAACCTGCTCGGTTGTATGTGGAAGACACATTTGTATACTACATCAAGACTTTGTTTGACACTTACCTTCCTAACAGCAGGTTGGCTGGTCACTCCACGCACCTCTCGGGGGGTAAACAGATGTTGCCCATGCAGGTCACACAGCACGCTAGGGCCTTGGTGAATCCTGTGAAGTTACGGAAACTGGTGATCCAGCCAGTGAATTTGCTCGTCAGCATCCACGCTTCCCTCAAGCTGTACATAGCCTCAGACCACACTCCTCTCTCCTTCTCGGTGTTTGAAAGAGGACCCATCTTCACCACTGCAAGGCAGCTTGTGCACGCCCTGGCAATGCACTATGCCGCGGGGGCCCTTTTCAGAGCAGGTAAGAACACAAGCTGAGGGTCTGTGATGAGCTAGAGCCTGGGCAGAAATGACAGGCTTGGGGGTAGCACCTCATTTCAAGACCTAAAGAAGCAATTGGCAAGAGGTAACACACCTGAGCTTTACAGTCACACACAACTGGATCTAAATACAGAGCCTGCCACTGTTAGCTGTAAGACTTTGGGCAAGTTATTGAACCTTCTTCCTGAGTCTCCATTTCCTCATCGATAAAATGGCTTTGAAGATTTCTGAGAGGATCAGATGAAAGTATGTGAGGTATCCAGCATTTTGCTTGCCATTTAATTAACATTCAAGCAGTAGTAGCTGTTCTGTAACTTAGAATTTTAGTTCAGTTTAGCAAACACTTTTTTTTAGCACCTTGCAGGCACAGAGCCCTTTCTTAGCACCCTAGAGCAACCAGGAAAGCTAGCCCAGGTCTTCAGTCCCTGGGCCTAAAAGAAGTCCAGTTCTTGTTTATTAGTTTTCTTCATTGCTATTCATGAATAGCAGCAGGTGAGAAATTCAGAGGATTTGTGTGCTCGTAAGATGCACATTGAGCCCTCTATCTATCCAGTGCTGTACTGCCTGTCTAGACAGCTGGCAAAGCGAAGGCTGTGAGTGTGTCAGCCTCTCCAGAGACCTGAGCTCAAAGAGAAGGAATGGCCCTTCCACTCTCTGGGGCCAGGCAAGTGGCCTATTGCAGGCTGAGGGCTGCTGTTTCTCAGAGACTTCGTGGAAAAGGTAAGGATTCCTTCAGTCTGGCTGGAAAAGTCTGCAGGGGCTGGCTTGAACATGCATGCAAAATTTTGTAGAGGGACTACTGTGTCCTAGAGACTGGTGGGTAGCGGGTGCAGTGGCTCATACCTGTAATCCCAGCACTTTGGGAGGCTGAGGTGGGAGGATCACCTGAGCACGGGAGTTCAAGACCAGCTTGGCCAACTGGTGAAACCTCGTCTCTACAAAAAATTAAAGTTAAAAAATTACCCAGGTGTGGTGTCGTGCACCTGTAGTCCCAGCTACTATGGAGGCTGAGGTGGGAGGATTGCTCGAGCCCAGGACTTTGAGGCTACAGTGAGCTATGATCACATCACTGCACTCCAGCCTGGGTGACAGAGCAAGACCTTGTCCCAAAAAATAAAGATTGAGTGGTGGGAACCATGTGGTCTCAGGGAACATTATGGTAATCAGCATCACAGTGTGTGTTCCTGAGCCAAGTTCACTCTAAAGCAGTTTTAGTTTGATAATTGGGCTCCCAGAAATTCAAGCAAAGAACAGCATCCAGAGTTAGCCTTGTCAGCCCTTTCCAATAAAAAACATGGAAATCTTACTTTCTGAAAGTAACAGAGGAGAGAGCCTTTGTTCTATCCTCTTTGTAAAGCTGTACTTTGTGAATGCATTCCCATATAAGATTAAGATTGTAGCAGTAAACGACCTGTGTTATTGCCATATTGGTCAGATTACATTTTCTCCATAATGAAATTCATAGACTTACTAGGGTTATCTAGACTCTTTTATAAAAGATAACAACAAGAGCAGGGAGAGGGTCCTGCCAGACCTGTTGTCTTGATAGCTTGCACAACAATGAAGAAAACATTTCCCTCTTGCTAAAAACTTATTTAAAAATAAGCAGTTCACATTTCAAATTTAACAGATGGGTGTATTTATAAACAATTCCAGAAACCTTCCCTTCAGGCAATCTTTGCTTTTTCACATAAGCAGCAGGCACGTAGGTTACTGAGCTCCAGTCTGAGGCCCGGCAAGGACGAAGGCTCCCATTCAGTCTCTGCACGACTCAGCAGTGCAGTAAGCAGCAGGGAAACTCTACCTGTGGCACCAAGTAACGGGCCGTGCAGCCCGTGTGCTAAAAACGAGCTCTTCATTTTGGTTTATATTTTTAATGAGCTTTCACAAGAACATTCTATTTGAATTTTATATAATTCACCTAAAAATCCTCTAAGCTGCCATTCCAATCTCACTGTATACCAACATAAGGGATTCTAATATAGAGGGCCAAGTTTTCAGAGCCTGTTGGAAACTCTGTCACTAAAAATCTGTGGACAATCTGAAGATCATCTGGAAGAAAGCAGTGATTGCAGGAGTAGGAAATGGGAAGATGCGGGAGGCTCCAGACTCCCAGGTGATCCTTGTCGAGGGAAGGGAGAGAGCTGGCTGCAGGTAGGCAAGTTGCCCACCCACATCTCACTTGGGTCAGAGTGCCCCTGCCTGTCATGGAAAACACCCTTACCTCATTTCTAGGGAAGTTGTGGTATCAACTTGAAGAGATTTTAAAAATAAACAGGCCAGGTGCAGTGGCTCATGCCTGTAATCCCAGCACTTTGGGAGGCTGAGGTGGGTGAATTGCCTGTGCTCAGGAGTTCGAGACCAGCTTGGGCAACACGGTGAAACCCCGTCTCTACTAAAATACAAAAAATTAGCCAGGCATGGGGGCGTGCGCCTGTAGTCCCAGCTACTTGGGAGGCTGAGGCAGGTGAATTGCTTGAACCTGGGTGGTGGAGGTTGCAGTAAGCCAAGATCGCACCACTGCACTCCAACCTGGGCAACAGAGCGAGACTCCATTTCCAAAAACATAAAAAATATTTAAAAAATTAAACAACTAAAAAAGGTAGAGGTAGGAGAGGCAGAATGAAAATAAATAGTAATTGGAAATCAGTAACTGACCCTGTCTGAAGGAATGCATGTGGTCTTTATCCTGAGGCCCCTCTCTAACCCAAAGGTTTAGTTTGATAGGAGCCAGGCAGACTCCCTTCTTCAACACAATTTCCAAATGACCAAGCAAAAGATAGATTTGCTATTGCAGGACAATAAAGGAGTACCTTTGGATCTGTCTGCCCTCTTCTGTCCAGCTCAGATGCCACTGAGATGTAGCTCTGGCCTCCACATAGCCCTTCTATCAGGCAGTGGCTTCAGGCTTCAAGGATTCCAACCCCACCACAGGGGAGAACCTGCCACTGGCAGGAAGAGGAGGCCAAGGCAGATTCCCACTCCCTCTCTGCACCCATGGCACCAAACTGAACAGGCCTGTCATGGGGGACACTGCTTGGCCATAGCTACTCTCTTTTCTTTTATACATGGACTCGTTGGAGAGATGGGGAATTAAGATGTTTCTAGACCAACCTTCTGCCGTTAGGTACACCCTTACAGCCATTCAGGGCTAAAGGGAATCTGCTGTTTCTTTACCTCCAGAGAAGGCCCTCCATGGAGGAATATTCCACAGCCTCCCCAGCTCCTTTGCCTACTCTTTGCAGCCTGAGCTCACAGAAGGAAGAGGTGGGTGGGCTTCGGAATTAGGAAAACCTGGGTTGGAAACCCAGCCCACAGGTGGATCATCCAGGGGACTATGAGCATTTGGCTTAGTCTCCAAGCCTCAGTCTCTCCCTTTTCCTGCCTGTGAGGCCATGGAAGCAGTACCACCATGTTGCATGCACCTCTGCCTCCTGTGCCTGGTCCATTCCCTGACCCAGGCAGCAGCTCAGTCACCAGCTAACCTGCACTGATTTGAAGGGAGAGAATACTTTTCTTGCAGTTACTGTGAGAATTAAATGTGTTGAATGTCTGGCATCCATAGGGTCTCTCATTTGTAATCTTTATCTTCCAGAAATTATTCCCTCCTTTGCCCTAAGCCCTAGTGTTATCATCCGAACGTTCCAGAGAAGGGAGGAGGGCTCAAAATTTAAGAACGTCCCTCTCTTCATGGGCTGGGCATGGGATTCTTCGGGACCTTGGCTGTTGTGCCCTCACCTTCCCGATCCCCTCAGATCACTGAGCTGCAGATCTCTGTCACAGGACTGCCCTCCTCTTCAGAGCCTGCTGGTGAAGGAGGGATGGCTCCCACCCAGTCCTGTCCCCACAGCCTTCCCATTGCCAGGTCTGAGCACCAGGCTGGGGAGGTTGGTGGCTTCCCAGAGAAAGCTGTCTTTTCGGACTCCTCTCTCCTGGCCCTCACTAGCCCCTCCAATTTTTGGGGCCTACATCCCCAAATCCCCACCCCAGGGAGCCAGGGTAAGGGCAGTGCCTGCGGGACTCCACACACAGCCACGTTCCCATGGGGCAGCAATGGCTGCGTGGCAGGCCAGCTTCTGGTCAGCCCAAGCTTCAGGAGGAAACCAGATTCAAAGCTGCCCTCCTGGGACATGCACAGGTGAACACTCCCCTCTCACTAACCTCATCAGAATGTCCCTGTCACAGAGTTCAAGACCAGCCTGGCCTACATGGTGAATCCCCATCTCTACTAAAAATACAAATAAATAAATAAATAAATAAATAAATAAATAAATAAATAAATAAAGCCAGGCGTGGTGGCATGTGCCTGTAATCCCAGCTACTTGGGAGGCTGAGGCAGGAGAATCGCTTGAACCCAGGAGTCAGAGGTTGCAGTGAGCCGAGACCACACCACTGCACTCCAGCCTGGGCAAAAGAGACTCAATCTCAAAAAAAAAAAAAAAAAAAAAAAGTCCTTGTCGCCAGGGTTTACATAACCGGAGCTGGGATTGAAGGGTCCAAGACATTTGTCTGGCTCTAGCTCTGCTCCAAAGGGAAGCACTCAACTCAGTAGGATTGGGAAAGATTAAAAACAACCCCTCCATTCTTGTCAGAAGTTTGCATCCCCTTTGCAACACACCATTGAGCATCTGGCCACCCCCGACCAGGCATCTCCTCCTATCCTGGTGCCGCCTCTGTCCCGGGGAGGCTTTAGAGAGAACCTCCCGCCTGCAAACACCTGCAGCCCAAGAAGGCGCCCTTCCTCAGGTGGTGGCAGAGTGTGTCCCCAGCACATGGACCCCTGTTAGCAGGAATATGGGAGGCTCGGGCCAGGCAGTTACATTAAAGCCATTTGTGGGGCCATCAGGGGATCACTTTGATTTATAAAGTATGAAAGTTTGCCATTTATAAATTCACAGGGAATGACTTATTTCCCTTATTTTCTTCCAAAGAAATGGATTACTTTCCCAATTCCAGTGTGAAAAAATGAATTGCAGGGGAAATGGGTCAGTTTTTCACAAATGTTGAAAGTTCTGCATTTGAGGTTTCAATCACCCCTTCCCTCTGGTCCATTGCAGGCTGGGTAGTTGGGTCTCTGGAGATTATTGGCAGCCCTGCAAGCCTGGTGAGAAGCATCGGGAACGGGGTCGCCGACTTCTTCAGGCTTCCGTACGAGGGGCTGACCCGGGGCCCCGGAGCCTTCGTGAGTGGCGTCTCCAGAGGGACTACATCATTTGTAAAGCACATCTCCAAAGGTAGCGGTTTCCGTTCCTTGCAATAATGCCTTTACTCCTTCCCTTTTTTTTTTTTTTTTTTTTTTTAAAGAATGTGCATTCAGATTGCCTCTAGCTTTGGCCTGTTAGCTTGCAGTGAGAGTTTGGATTTGTAACAAAGCTCATAATATAATGTCTTATGTTTTGAACAGATCAGTACTTGCCTGTGGTGTGTGAAAATGTTTCAGAAACTTCAGAATTTTAAGCCTCCCATTGGGAAAACAAGGATTGGCTCAACTGTTATTCCATGTGATAAACATAGAAATATTAAAGGTGTTCAGGATTTCTGCTAAACATCAGAAACCCTACACTGTGTTGCCTCCATATTTTTTTAAATGTAGATACAGTTGTCATAACTTTCTGAAGGATATGGATACATTCTGACATGGAAGCAGATTTCGGGGTGAAACAGCCAACTTTTCTCTAGCACGCCACGTAAACAGTGCCATCTTGTGGCCCAGACAGGTCATCAGGCACGGAGGCCAAAGTGCTTTCCCACAAGGACAGTGTTTTAGTTTTATCTGTGTGTGTTTGCTTGATGTTATTTTGGTCAGCTTCGCAGAGACTTGGGAACTAACAAGGGCCATCTGAGTCCCCTTTTCTTCTCAGTGGGAGGCAAGGAAAACAGGGCAAAGGGCTTCTTCCCGTAAAAGGCATCTGACCATAGGCCATAGGACAGGTTGTAGAAGTCTCTGTAAGGCACAAAAGAAGACTTGATCTTGAAATAGGAGAATGCGTGATCCATAGAGGGGGTGAGGGACTATGGGTGGGAGGGCTGGCAAGAGAACAGCCAGAGTCATAAAAACAGATTCCACGGACAATGAAAAGGACACTCCCCCAGGCCTCAAATCATCTGGGAGGCCTGGGGGCTGAGTTGCAGAAATCCACCCCAGGAGTCACTGGCTGACTCCTCACTCTTGACACTGGAATCTCTGTGGTTCTGTTGTTTTTATGTTAAAATAAGACAACCAACACCTGCTAAATTGAACCTCAGCAGTATTTTCAGCCTACTGACTCACTGAATGTTTTTTACACTTGTTCTCTTCTTCTCTTAGCAAAATCTGTTTGGTTTGTTGGCATCCCTATGTGTGTGCACGCACACAGATATTTTTCTTTTCAGATTACTGGTAAAGATGCAGCTGCAAAAACGACATTGAGCATTTCTTCCTGAAACTGGACCTGCAATAACAGATGAGCTAGTTTGTTAGCGTCCAGATCTGTACATGAAAGTCGCTCAGTTTTGCTCACTGAGACATGTGCAGACCTGCTAGAGGAATTGTAGCTGTTGTGACCAAATGCTAAAACAGCCTTCCTTAGGAAAACCAGACAGATTCACGGCTCTCACATGATTTACTCCCTTTATTCCCCTCACTGTTTTTTCAGTTAATATCCTGAATATCAAAATTGCACATATTCTCCATGGCACAATAATTACATCCTCAGAATGGCAAATGATAAGGTTTAGTATCTCCCCCTTTGTTATTACTGAAGTTATAGGGAGGGAATAAAATTTATTCCTAAAGTTGAAATATTTCTTTATCATCTTTCTAAAACTTAGCAACGTAACTTTACCCTTTAAAATCAGAGCAGGCAGATTTTAACCTTCAAAATTGGGCCTCAATGAAGGCATCAATACTGTTTTAATCAAACCTTGACAAATTCAATTATAGTGAAGGATAGTTTCATGTGAAACTCTAGGCTGCTCTCTGGCACCTGTGATTCTTCCCCTTTGAAGAGTGTCATCACCCCTGTGGGCAAGTGTTCCTCTTTACCTCATTTTCTTTTAAATTTTATTGTATCTTATTTGAGACAAGATCTCACTCTGCCACCCAGGCTGGAGTGCAGTGGTGCAATTGCAGCTCACTGCAGCCTTGACGTCCTGGGCTCAGGCAATCCTCCCACTTCAGCCTCCTGAGTAGCTGAGACTACAGATGTGCACTACCACACCCAGCTAATTTTTTAACTTTTCATAGAGACAGGGTTTTGCCATGTTGCCCAGGCTGATCTCAAACTGCTAGGCTCAAGCAATCCTCCTGTCTTGGCCTCCCACAGTGCTGGTATTACAGGTGTGAGCCACCGCCCCAGTTGTTTACCTCTTAAGACTCTTTCTTCAAATTGCCTGAGAGGAAGCCACCATCACTTGCCACTGGGCATGTCCAAGAGGGCCCACAGTGTTCCCACTGCCTCTGAAACTACTGCCTTGGGGTCCCTCATGTATGTGACAAGGAGGCTAACTCCATGCTCTTATTCCCTCAGGTACCCTCACATCCATCACCAACCTGGCCACAAGCCTGGCCCGGAACATGGACCGGCTCTCACTGGATGAGGAGCACTACAACCGGCAGGAGGAGTGGCGGCGGCAGCTCCCCGAGAGCCTGGGCGAGGGGCTTCGACAGGGCCTGTCCCGGCTGGGCATCAGCCTGCTTGGTAAGGGGCTGTGGGGCCTCCCACCTGTCTGCAATCCAGCAGACTGAGGTGCAGGGTCTCCCAGGACTGGGCAACCTCGCCTTCTGCCTGGGGATGACTGGGAAATGCTCAGAGAAGGTAAGGCACTTGCTCTGAGTTCCACAGTGTATCCCGCTGAGGGCTCACCTGCACAGCCGCACAGGCAGCACCTGTGTTTGCTTTGTGTATGAAATGTATCTTGGGCCTCACTAAAGTTCTTAAAAGAAATCCTAATTTGATAGGACCCGCTCTAAGCATAGTGGTGTCTGCACGAGGACAGCAGCATCCAGCTGTTTGCTTTCTGAAGAATATGATAGGCAACCCTTCCGAAGCACTGGCTCCCTCACTCCCACACATGCTGAGCTGCTTCTTTTGTTTGAGAAGCACTAGAGCAACATGCAAATGTCATGTAAACTTCAGTGAGGAGCACACTTTGTCCTTTTACTTTTTTGAGATCAGCCTGACTCAGAGCAGTTATTGTTTGTAGAGCAGCCAGATGGTATAGAGGTGAAGATTGCTATGCATATTTCAAAATACTACAAATGTTTGAAAATAAGTTGCTTTAAAAAAATCTATAAAAAGGAAGCTTCAGAGCTAAAAGCTTGCAGGGCAAGATTATCAAGGATTTTTTTGTTTATTTGTTTGCAAAGGAATTTAAAACTGTATTGCTTGGCAATGTGCCTGTCCCGCATCTGAGGGAGTGTGCGCCTCCCAGAGATCAAAGTCACCCAAAGCAGTGCAGAGCAAAGGGTAGAAAAGATGAGTTTGAAAGGACTTGCCCTCTCTCTGATCTTCAGTTCTCTACGGAACTCCTCGATTGGCAACTGCAGCCAGCTGAGGCTCTGGGAGGAAGTGGTAAAATGGTACACGTTCAGGTTAAGTTGCTAGAAATTATATAGGTAAAAACATTCAGTGGTGTGGGGCACTGTCATATGTGGAAACTGGGAAGCTGGTGACCTGTGATAAACAAGCTGGGTAAAGGAGCAACCTTCTTGCTTAACTCAGTAACCCAAAGGTGATGGTGACTCCTTTGGGGAAGGCGGTGTGGCAGGGGACCCTGCCCTCAGAAGCCCCAGACCTCGGGCTAGGGTGTCCAAGTCCTTTCTTTGTGACCTCAGAGAAGTTCTTCTCTGAACCTGAGTTTTTCTTTTGTATATTGGGCCTGGTGATACTATTGTTAGAAGTAACAGTGGGTAGTTAGTTATATGGCAGCCACCATGCTCATGTTTGGTAAACAGCACCTATCATTATCATAGTATGGTAGCAAATGAACTGTAAGAGTTGCCTGGTTTCCAAGAGTGTCTCCACAAAAAGAAACATCTGAGCAATGGCAGGAATATTTTCCCTTAATCTAATGGATTAAGTGGCTGTAACCAGAGGAAGTGACAATGAGGTTATATTGAGGATCTTAAGGTCATTGTTTTGCAACTCTGGACCTGTTGATGCTATTAATTGGAGGCTTAAGTACCACTACTCTGGGGTTGAGAGCTTCCCTGTCTCCAGCCCAGCCCCTCTGAGAGAGAGAGAGAGAGACCAACCCACCCACCCCTGGGCTGGCTGGTGTGTGGCTGTCTCCACTCCAAACCCGACGCCCTTCCCGCCCAAGGGTTCCAGTCTCTTCTCACTCAGAGAAGCCCCAGCCAATGCTCCGTTTTCAGTGTGTAAGACTGTACCTGATAGGAAAAATCAGTTGTGTGAGGAGTCACGAATCGGCCCCGATGAGGTCATCTTTCTGGGCGTGGGTCCTGTTGACAGGGTAAGTCACAACGCTCTGATCTTTGCTGTAGTCATTGTGTCTTGCATATCCTTATCCATGTGAGGGAATTCATTTTTGGAAACTGCAGTGGGCTCATGGGGTCTTTGTGCATATCTGGTAATTTCCAGAACATTAGGAATTCTTGGGGTAACATAAACCTCCTCTGTAGATGCTGGCTGCATCTCCCAACACTGGCCGGCCCCAGTCCCAGCCCAACCCACCCCCTGAGCAGTGTGTCCATGTCAGGGCTCTGCAGAGTTCACAGTGGGCATCTCAAGCTTGGCTCAAACCAGCTTCCTTTCCTGTAAGACTTCAAGAGCCTTTGTTTCATGTAATCGTTATCTCAAAATATCTGGTCCTAGAACTACCAGGTGTGTGGCAAGAAGAAGAAAGAGGGGAGTACAACAAACTGAATCTCCTCACTTTGGAAAGTTATAGATTGGCCACCATTTAATTCTTCCCCAGAAATGGTGTTTGAAATTGCCATATACAATGCAGTGCCTAATTGAAGTTAGAGCCATTATCACATAATAATTTGAAACCCAGGCCGGGCACGTGGCTCACACTTGTAATCCCAGCACTTTGGGAAGCCAAAGCAGGTGGCTTGCTTGAGCCCAGGAGTTTGAGATCAGCCTGGGCAATGTGGCAAAACCCCATCTCTACAAAAATAAAATGAAATACAAAAATTAGCCAGGCATGGTGGCACATGCCTTTGGGCCCAGCTACTCAGGAGGCTGAGGTGGATCGCTTGAGCCCAGGTCAAGGCTGGAGTGAGCTGAGATTGCACCACTGCACTCCAGTCTGGTGGAGAGAGTGAGACCTTGTCTCAAAATAATGACAGTAATAATAATAGTTTTAAACCCATGCCAGTGAAATATTCTAGTTGCTCAGTTTCTTCAAAAAGACATAAAAGTCAAGGACCCAGTTCATAAAAATATATTAAAGGAAAAGTTAGAGTTGGCAAAGCATTTTCAAAGGTGTCATCTTATTTGATCTTCACAACCCTTCACAACTTCATAACCCTTCACAGCTTCACAACTTTGGATGAGGTAAAGTGACTTAGCCAGGTCAAACCTCCAGCAAGGACAGGAGCCCGGGCCTTTCCACCATGTCGCCTACCCCTGTGGAGCTCCAGGCCTGGAAACCATCAGGATGTGGGGAGATTGAACAATTTCAAGTTCCAGTATAGGAAAACACATTTCCCCCAAATGTTTATGGGTTCGGGAGGCCTTCTTGACTCTGCTTCACCCTCATGGGAACCCTATGGAGCATTATGAGGCCCTTGAAAATTAAAGCAAGTCTTTAATTTATGCCCAGCCGCACTGCCCCAGGTCAGCAAGGAAAAGTGTCTGCTGGCTGAGAGATGCCGCCGAGGCTTTTGGATGAGCTCCATGACAGTTTTCCAAAAGCAACGGCTTTTGGAAAAACTCTGTTTAGCCTGCAGTATTGGCATCAGCCTTGCCCACATTTACCAGATCTGTTCCCCAACACCCACACTTTCTACTACACTCTGGAGCCTGCACTGAGAAAGGATATGCAGCTCCGCATCACAACTGCGTTCTGCGTTTCCTCCCAGACCTGATGCCTTCTCATGAACACCAAAGTCAGGATGTCAAGAATTGCTCCTCTGACTCCCACTTCTTTTGGGATGCTTCCTGGTTTGTGACACGCTGCTGGATTCCCCAGAGACCACCTCCTCTCTCTTCGTAGGCACTCTTGGCTATGCCATCTGGAATTCCAACAAAACAGGCCTCTGCCAGGTGAATCAGAAAAGTCCCCTCCGAGGGAGTGACTCAAGAGTTGCATATCCCAAGAGACAGCCCTTAAGACCACCATCTGCCATTTACTGACTGGTGTGTATTATAGTCAGTGCAGAATTTAGGAATGACAGGCAAAGTGCTTCCTTCTTGGTTTGCTCATCTGTTCTGGTCAAAAAAGCAGCACTGAGCTGGAATGCACAGTATACTCTATGCATCTCGTTTCTTTCTGGAATGGCGAGCTGTGGCGTGGTATCCTATCTTATGCCTGTCCTTCTGATAGTGTGCCAAAAAAAATGCCAGAAACAAAATTACACCACATGGTAAAGGCAGCATCAAAATAGATGCATCACAAGGAACTTCCATAGCTCAGTGACCAAGTAGTTTCTGCCCAAGGCTTAGGAGCAAGTCACAGAAAGTGGTGAGGGAAGGCGTGGTGGTCTCCTGCTCCACAATGAAGGCCTTCCTCCTCCTCCACCTTCCAAGGCACAACAGGCAATAGCTCCTGTGTCCTGTGGGGTACAGCACTCACTCAGTCCTGGAAACCCCTCCCAGGCACGCTCTTCTGTCCACTGGCTTCATCAGATCACAGCCATCTCCATGTGGCCACCCACCCCGTGGGCCTAACGCCAGCAGACAAGTCTTGGGATCAGTTTCCACTCTTGAAAGCCTTCAAGCAGAGTTTGAGTCTATGACAGTCCATAATTTACCAGTTGAGGGATTTACTTCAGAGGATATACTTCAGAGGAGAGCCATTCCAGGCTCTGAGAGAGGCTGCCTCTCTCAAAGCAGGGCTGCAGGGACCATGAAATGGCTGCTGGTCTCTTAGCCTCTCTGTTCCCCAGCTTGTGAGCACAGAGGTAGATAAGGCACCTGGTGGCTGGTGAGGAGTTCGTGTGACAGGCCAGCTTTTCCCCTCAAAGGTCTGCTGCTGAGCCCGGGGCAGGTGGTTCCACAGCTCCCTCTCTGACTCTCAGAATCTAACACCTTGTCATGGGACTCAGGCTTTCTACTTTTGGGGAGCTGCCCAAATCGTCTTATCTGTCAAAGCCACAGTAACTGGAGCCTTCACTGTGGCCAGAGAAAACGGAAGAGCAGAACAGAGGGAGCTTCACTTGATACCTGCGTGCGATGGAGCAGCTGGCTGTCAGCACCCTGTGCGGGTGACTGTGGCTGGCCCAGGCTCCACTCTTTGATTTGATGCTGTTCACTTTGATAATCTGCTGAGGTGACCGGAAGAGAATACCCAGGGTTCCTCCCTGTCCCTCACTGTGGCCACTCTGACTTCTGATCTTCCAAATGGAGTGGAGCGTCAATGGCAAATGAGGGGCGCTCCTAGCCGAGCGCCAGACCTGGCTAGCTGTGATGCTGAAAGAGTGACCCTCACTCTTGATAGCTGGGGTGGCCTGGGCCTGCTGGGAGCAGCTTCCTCTGCTCACTCTTGCCATTTCTGTGTAAGGTTTGGCAGCACGACTCTAGGCTGGGAAACAGGCCTGTTGCCTCAGGTCATTCTGAATCTGTCAATGCATAAACTTAAATGTCTCTGTCAAAACCTAGAGGAAAGGAGTCCATGAAAAACATTCCCTTTACAATTGACGTGATGTGCACTAAAATTTCATCATCAGAGCATTTTCATCAATTCTAGCAGTTTTGAGTTGAAAACAGACAATTCTGTCAAGAATTGTAAAGAAATTTTCCCTTCTGAGTTAGGGAGCCCTCCACTCCATCATGAAAAAAAATCAGAATGGTGAGGCTTTTCTAGCTCTCATTGTTGGCCTCTCAAAGCAGGAGTAGCACAGGGGCCGCATCCACAGGACTGCCTGAGGGGCTCCTTTCATCTTAACTGCCTCAGGCTCAGTGCAGGAGATGGACGCCCTGTGCTACAGCTGTGGGAGCAGAGCCCCAAGGGGTTTTGGTCGCTATTCTAAGTGAGGAGTAAGCGGCCAAACCTCAATTCAAGTGAGAGAGAAAGGTTTTTCCAAGATTGGCAAAGAGGAAGAGCCTGTTTTATAAATGGGATAAGCGAATCTCTTGGTGGTTAAGAGCTATGCTGTGACTCACACTCTCTGTACACTTAACAGCTGTGTGACCTTGGGAAAAACTCCTTAACCTCTGTGCCTCAGTGTCCACATTTGGATAAAAACAATGTCTGACTCCTGGGAATATGAGGATCAAATGATCTCATACAAGTAAAGCTTTTAGCACAGTCCCCAGACCTAGTAAGCATTCAAGATAGATAGATTACCTATCATCAAAATAATAATTACTATATCAATAATTACTCTTAAGTATTAATACTACTAAATTATGATTATGATTATTATTAAAAGTGGGGAGTTAGAAAGGGGCTTAACCCCTTCCAGTTTTTCATCTTCCTGAATCGGTGCAAATGTATTGGGCTGAACACTCTTTCTCTGCTCCTGAGGAATTGTTAGCTCCTCTCTGTAAACTGTGTTGCCTGACTTCAGAGGAAAGATGTGTGGATGACACTGAAAAGACTGACAGGTTTGTTAAATTCTGAACTAAACTTCACAGATCCTGACTGTGTGGACCAAACTCCATCTGAATATTGTACTTTGATGACAATAATAAATGTCTACTGCCCTTGGTGTACTTAGGTAACTGGTAAATAAATGGATAGTAAAGACCTTTACAATGAGGGTGGGGACTCATTTTCAATCCAGATAAAACTGTGTTCCAGATGGAGCCTTTCATTTTCCAAAAATTTTAAGCCTCTGTCCTTACTGAGGGCTTTTGTTATTCCAGGTGCAATTGCTGGTATAGTTGATCAGCCGATGCAGAACTTCCAGAAAACATCTGAGGCACATGCTTCAGCAGGACACAAGGCCAAGGGTGTCATCTCAGGTGTGGGGAAAGGAATCATGGGGGTGTTCACAAAGCCCATCGGAGGAGCTGCTGAGCTGGTGTCACAGACTGGTTACGGTAAGTTGGTGGAAAACCCATCAGGCCAACCCAGACGTTAGTGATTTGCATGATTATACCAAGGGTTCCCTAAGATAGTGTAACCTTTCACATGGTAGAGGAGTAAAAGATAAATAAATAGTGGCTATCTTTCTTACCTCTCTATGCTTATTTATACAGAGTAGAATTTTACTACTAATAAAACCGTAGAATCAGGAAACCAGTTACTAGTTTCAGTGTGTATGTCACAGAATCTTTTTACAGTACACTTGATAGACCAGTTTAGAGGTTGAGGGCAGAATGGAGAATACCACAGAGAAAAGAATTAACACTTTTTCCTATGAGAAATGTGGAAGGAGTGATAGGTTGTGGGAAGATAACTTTAAGAAGCAGTAGAGAATGAGACAGAGTGTGGATGTGCACATGGATCTTTGGGTTTGGGGTGGCCTTCTCACCCACAGACGCCATCCTGCTCCTCACAGCCAGGCCGGGGCAGAAACAAAGGATCTGCAACTAAAATCCCTTTCGCAAGCAGACAGCTGTGGAGTGCATGGGCGCACGGCACTACCTGCACTTGGATGGGCGTGCCAGGGCCTCTCCCCGTGCAGCAGTGTGCACACGAGTAATGGGTGCCTATGAAAGGAAGCACCTCCTCCCAGGCTTATTTTCTGCATTCATGGCAGAGCACATTAAAGTGACTTTCCATAAACCTGTGGCTGGAACCGTTAACATTTTACCTAAAATTGGTGTCATCATTTTGGTCATGAAGCAGGCTGTCTAGCTAGTATCACAAACCACAGAAGCACCCTCCCGTTTATCAGACATGTAAGCACACTGTGTCTGCATCCACATCTGGCCATAAAGCCCACGGGATGTTTCAGGGGAGGCATCCTGCTCCTCAGCAGGCCTGACAAGAGGCAGCCAGATCAGGGCATAAAAACAGCGTCTGAAAGGAAGGGAGTGGAGATGAATGAGTGCCCACACTTCAGGCAGCCATCCGGAAAGCATCCTTTAAGAGACCACACAGACGCCAGCATGTGTTCCTCTTCGCTTTCCCCTCCTCACCCCCCTCATTTCCCTCTCCTTCTGTGAATGACATTTTCACTCACAGGGAAACTGACAGTAAGATGTGCTATAACCTGTAAGTGGGAAAAGTTAAACTCCCTTATGATACGGACTCCAGTGAGGTAAAGTCAAGTCATACTTCACAAATTCTTTTGGTTTTGAAAATGCCATTGTCCCTCACTGTGTTTCCCAGGGCTGAAGAATGCTCCCTTATGTAAGAAGATCTTACAGCAGAGCTTCACATGGCCTTTTTGGTTTCCATCACTCTTGTAAAACTTTTATTACCGAACTGAAGGTTTTACAAACCACTAACTCTTAGTCTAATGACTGCGTCGTTTATAAACATTTACAAGCCCTCAGAAAGCACACATGCTGTACCATCTTTGGTTCTGGAGAGTCTCTGTAAAGGCCTATGTGGCTGCTGCTGGGTGCCCTCATTTGGTGCTGGCACCAGGGAGAGCATGTCATAAACCAGAGGCCCCAAGCGCACTCATAAATGTACATGGATTCGTGTTTAACAGTTGGATTAAGTCACTTAGCATTTAAATAGTGTATCTAGGCAAAGGGTGTGCCTTTGTATATATCTGTGTTTTTTATTTTTTGACTAGCCTTAGCACAGATACAGAAGTATTAAGGAAGCTAACTAACAATCTAAAGGGTTTTTTTTAGACACAGGGTTTGCTGTCACCCAGGCTGGCATTTAGTCACACAATCATAGCTCACTGCAGCCTCCAACTCCTGGGCTCAAGTGATCCTCCCACCTCAGCCTCCGGAGTAGCTAGGACTACAGGCACGCACCACTATTTATTTTTTGTAGAGATGGGGGTCTCACTTTGTTTCCCAGGCTGGTCTCTAACTCCTTGACTCAAGCAATCCTCCCACCTTGATTTGATCTCCCAAAGTTCTGAGATTACACGCATGAGCCACCATACCAGACCTAGCTAGACTTTTTTAACATATCAATTACAAATGATATCTAAGCTATTGTTCATGACCAGCTACTTTCAGTGTTTTTGCTTCCTCTAATTGCTGGTCTATGCTTGGACTATGTAACACATTCATATTTTAATTTTCTAATGCAAGATCACCAAGGTTAAGAGCATTGTAATGTTTAAAGATTATCTATACACTTGCTTCCAAAGATGTGACATCACTTTGGATCTGTAACATTTTATGGATGGCTCTGAGCAGATGACATCATTGCAGCATGAAACTGTTTTCCAGAAAACAAGTAGTAAAACTCCCTTGCTTCTCTTACCACAGGTATTTTACATGGAGCTGGACTTTCTCAGCTTCCCAAACAGCGCTATCAGCCAAGTGATCTACATGCTGACCAGGCTCCAAACAGCCATGTCAAATATGTCTGGTAAAATTATTGAGATACTTGCTCAACTTTACATCCATACTGTATGTTAATAGCTCCTGGCTTGCTCTCAAGCTAATGGGCCACACTTCCAGGGAGCCCAGGAGTAGCCATTGTTGGCACTGGCATCTCAGGCAGCACAAGAGCACTGTAGAGGGACAGGAAGGGGCTGCCACTGCCAGGTTTGGGGCTAGCTGCACAACTCCTCTGCTCCATACCTAACCACTCAAGGAAAGTCATACATTGGCAGAGAAGCCCAGTCTTGCTAGAGGGCCTGAGATTCCCTGTGGAATGGCCACTCGAATTAGAGGTGCTGTTTCTAATGGAGAGAAAAGGAGCTAAACAAAACCAAGGGAAATCTTTATTCCCAAGAGGAAGCAGGTTCTGTTAACCAGAATCAGTGTTTGAGAACTGACAATTACATTTCAAGCTAAAATGAGTAATTGGATTGGTGAGGGCCCTTTGCCCTCGGGGAGGCCGCCCCATTGGTAAATAATGAGCGGTGATAAGTGACCATCTTTTCAAAGCTGGCCCCTGGCCTCACTTTTCTCCTTTTAAACAGGAAAATGCTTCAGTCTCTGGGCAGACCAGAAGTCCACATGGCCCTGGACGTGGTTTTGGTGAGGGGCTCAGGCCAGGAGCATGAAGGGTGCTTGCTGCTGACATCAGAAGTGCTCTTCGTGGTGAGTGTCAGCGAGGACACACAGCAGCAGGCTTTCCCCGTCACAGAAATCGACTGTGCACAGGACAGCAAGCAGAACAGCCTACTCACAGTGCAGCTGAAGCAGCCAAGAGTGGCCTGTGATGTGGAGGTACGTTTCAGAAAACAGGGCAAACAAGACTAGCTGCCAGGGAGGTTGGAGTGGCTGCTGGAGACCAAGGAGAGCTGCTACCCAGAGAGGGAGTGTGGAGGCCAGAGGGCCACTGCAAAAGGGCACTGGGAAGCCCCCATCCAGATATGCACATGAGCCCTGTACAGGAGAGCCCAGCAGGCGGCTAGCAGGACTCAAGGTCTGGGGCTAAGTCACCATGTCAGCTGAACAAGGCTGATCTGGCTTGGCCGTTATGGGGCTGGGGTGCTCGATGGACAGGACAATGGAGTTACAAAATGAGTGGGTCGGTACAGGAAGGGCCAGGATTGGGGCAGCAATTCCCAGCAACTGCTCCACAAAGGAGGCCCCCTGGTCTGAAAGCCTGAAGTCAGGTCCTTGGCTGCCTGAGGACCCCAGTTGGCTGCAGGGTGCTGGAGGTCTGTGGGTGCTGGAGAGGACCACTGCAGGAGCAAGGGGCATCATGAAAAAAGACTCTCCACTCCCTCCCCTACCCCCAAACCTGGTGACTTCAAGGGTCAACATTTTGTGAGGTAGTCTCTCTCTCACATCCACTGCTTTGTATTCTGTGGCTGTGTTCTTTCCCACAGGATGGTTTCCCACCCCATAAGTACCACAGAATCCCCCCCTGGGGATGATACTTAAGGCTCTTGGGGCAGCTCCATGGCTGGCTCCTGGCCTGCATAATGTGGAACAGATGCGCAGGCAAGGCATACTGGGTGTCAGGAGTCAGAGCTAAGCCCCGACCAGAAAGACCCCAGCTTCCTGTAGTCCAGCCCAGGGTAAACAGGTGCACCCACTGGAAAACTGCTCTGTGCTCTTCCTCCTTGGGTGATGGCCTGATCCATAAGACCCTAATTATTTACATAAGAAACAGCCATCTTTTTCCACACAGCAAGATGGTGGTGGATCAGTGGCAAACTGGAGTCTGCTGGTCCTAACCTGGGGACTGAGTGGCCCCAGCAAAGCACAGCAAACCTGCCCCCAGTAGGTTCTGCCTGATCCTCCTTTCATTATTCTCTTCCTGCGATGGGGGCATGTATCTCCGTCACACCACTGTTTGGGTAAAATTATCTGAGAAGATGGAAAGCAGCCAACGACAACAACTCTAAGATTTCTCTAGTTTCTTGGATCATGATCATAGTCAGGCTTTAAGCTAGGGTTTGGCACCAGGACTACATTGCTCCTTCAAGTTGATGACTTTCTGGGAATAAACAGAGGTCAGATGTCCAGGCTGACTTTATTAGATCTGCCAAGATCTTCTGATCAGTTGACAATAAAGCAGCGGTGATTTGGCAAGGGATAATATCATTACAATTAAGTCTTTAGTCCTTAATGAGAAACTTCCAAGGCCCTGTGACTATCATTATTCCTTAGCTGCTTGGGAAATATTTCAGATCTTAAACTCTTGAGACTGGAGATTCTTTTGCTGTTGAACTGTCTTCAGCTGTGATCCTTCTCTTGTATTTTTGTTTGAGGCAGGTACTGTGGAGAATCATCATAGGCTGGAAGGAAACAGACCTCAGTTTCCCTAGGGGTTGAGATAGTATCTGGAGTCACCACTCCTAAAAGTTGCCAAGATTATTGGGACTGTGGAATGAGGAAGCAGCACTGAAGCTCTGGATACCATTTTCAACACTGATTTTCCATTGCTGTCCAGGGCTGAAAGAGGGTTGGGATTAAGGAATGCCTAAAACAGAGGTGGGAAGACATGATTGAGAGCAGGAGCACTGTGCCTGCACAGCCAAGGCCAGGCACTGGCTGGAAAGTGGATGGGCCAGTGCACCTTCAGCCTCCACATTCTGCTTTTTCTATTCCACTTTCTCTCTCATTAATATTCCTATTAATGACTTAATAGGAATAACTGCTGCCGTAATCCTGTGTCTGTAACCCCAACCTCTCCTACTCACCCCCAAGAAAACTCAAGCTGCAGAGCATCTTTGAGACTAAACCCTCCCAACTGCTGTAATCCGGAGTATTTTCAACATGAGTGGGTGGGGGAGGGTGGCCAGCAGTGCTGTCTTGTCAGGGAGCTTTCTTGAGCTGTCTTTTAGTGCATCCCAACATAATCCACAGACATAAGGAAGCCTGTCTGCTGTGAACACTTCCAGTGAAGACTAAAAGCAGTATTTTAAGATCTTCTATAAATGACTTTTCTGGTTTTTAGCTTTTGCCTTAGATGCTAGGAAACACAGTTCCTTTGAATTTTGGAAGGAATTAATTTGTAGATGACATCATGCAGTACATTTAAATATGGCAGGATTGAGATTTTTTTTTTTTAAACTCAGCATTTGCTTTTCTTGGTTAAATGCAACCAGTTTAGGGGTAATAATTGCTTAATATGCTTGGCACATTATTGAAATCCCTTATGAGAGGCTCAAAATGAGTCAGAAGGTCAATTTATTCCTTGGCTGGGTTCCTTTCACAACACGGGTTTTCCTGTGCTGCTGTTCAGGAGGAGCAATTAAAACTTTTTGTGTATTCAAAGCTTTCCAGCTGAATTCTGGCCCCATCAAATGATATCAGAGCTCTGGCTTTTGCCTGGTGGTGCAGAGCGTTCATCTGTTAGTGAATCTTTGGGGACCGTTTTTCCCCAAGCTTAAAAACACAAGATCCAAACTCTAAGGGATTCCTTACTTATTTCTCTAGCAAGCCCCTTTACTATCTCTGTGCCATCACACGGACTTTCTCCAGCTGTTAAGACACTTTGATAGCATTGTTACTGGACCACACACAGAACTAGGAAGTCTTTACATTATCATTTCTTCCAGAGTAGTCTTGCCAATGTTCAGTAGGCAAAAACCACAGAAAGTTTGGTGGCTACCTGAGATTCACAAATCAGTGGCTTACAACTGCAAACTTCCCACTCCACTTGATCTACACACTAGACAGCTAAAGGACTTCAGGGTGGGAAGAATTTATAGCTTCAGCTGCCTTTGAATGAGTTGATGAGCACTTTCTCAGAAAATCTCACTGAAGAACCTAGTATATCTCAGTTCTATTTGTGTTCCACTGAAGACGAGCCAGACTTTTATGAACCATAAATGTAGTTTGCATCCTCTTTTTTCCATAAAAATTTCCCCTTCCGCTGCCCAGTTTTTCTATTTTCTCTGGCTTTAAATCCTAGGATTTATAAAAGCAGAAAATGTTACAGTTCAAAAGGTTTTTTAATGCTCTGTCCAAAGCCACTGGTTTGAAAGAGGTGTTCTCCACTTTAAGATGTTCTATCTGAAGAGGTTTGGGGAGCTAGGCAAACAGAGCTTTTATTTCAGTGCTGAGTTTAATGTTGAATAGATTTATGTGGAGGAAAGATTTTTCTCCTTTTTTCTTGGGCTGGTTGCTACAGAGCAATGACAGATGTTTTAATGGTTAGTGAGTAGAATGTTATCAAATCGTCAACTTCAAACATGGGAATTTTACACACCACCAAATGCTTATTCAAAGGAGGCTGTCCTAAGTCTCATGCACAACTTTTGTTATACTGCTAAAAGTGCATTGTTATCATTGCCGTATCTCAGAGGAAAAAAGGAAACATTCTGGATTAATGGCTTTAATAGAAGACCTAAAAGGCATAATGTACAAATATATCAAGACAAAAGAACTAATTCTGTTTTGGAACTCTCATAAGGGTCTGGCAACTAATCTTTATTTTTGGATCCTAGGTAGATGGAGTCCGAGAGAGACTGTCAGAGCAACAGTACAACAGACTTGTGGACTACATCACAAAGACATCTTGTCACCTGGCCCCTAGCTGTTCTTCCATGCAAATACCATGCCCTGTGGTGGCTGCAGAACCTCCCCCCTCCACTGTTAAAACATACTATTACTTGGTTGATCCACATTTTGCTCAGGTCTTCCTTAGTAAATTTACCATGGTGAAAAATAAAGCCCTGAGGAAAGGGTTTCCTTGAGTCCCCTCTGAGGTATTGATTCGTACTTGTGTGATTTAGTTTTTGGGTTTCTTTGAGACAGGGTCTCACTACATTGCCCATGCTGACATCAAATTCTGTGGTTCAAGCAATCCTCCCACCTCAACCCACAAGTAGCTAGGACTGCAGACACATGCCACCATACAGGGCTGCATTTTTTTTAAAAAGCCTAGGCAGCTCTAACATCTGATATGGACACAAGGCCAACAGTTTCCTTATTTAGATCCTTACCTCTAAAAGATACTTCAAAGTGACAAAATCGTGTTCCTTTCCCACTTACAGACAATGATTAGCAGGTCCCTTACCACATACAGAGGATGCATTTCTTTTTGCTCTATGACACTTGCAAAAATTTCTACTGTAATTTGGATCTATTAACTCTCTGTTCCATCACAGAATGTGGCCAGGCCTTACAATGGAGAGCCAGAGTTAGTTAAAACTTAAAAGTTGCATCTGTTTTTGGGCTGAGTCACCACGTTTGCCTCATGCTCTTTCTTTGGTCTGGAAAGGCCTAGGATTCTTTAAATGAAATGCTTAGGACTTTGTGGCTTATTACATTTGTCACTTAACTGCAATGCTGTTCTTTGATTGAAAGCTGCTATGTGTATTTTCTCTGAAGTCTGCATTTTACTAAAATTTACAAAACAGTCTGATTACTGTCCAGGTACATTTTAGAAAAAATGTTTTTCCAGTTTGTGTTTTACTAAGCAAACTTTGAGTAAATCCTTTGTCCTATATTGAATCCAGTCCCAAAGTGCTCAGGTGACTTTCTCTAGTTCCATAAACAAAACATACATAGTGGGAACTCCCTGGTATGCCGTAGAGCACACAACCCCAATATTAATGCTAATAATTATACCAGTCCATTTCGTTTATTCTGTGGAATTGACTCGATAAAGCATGAAGATATTCCCAGTGTCTGATAATATTTTGCACCTAAGAATGGGTTTGACTCAAGATCTTGGGTTACCAAGATGTCTTCAATGTTCAGTAAATTATCTTACTTACAGTCCAGTAACTTAGAACATGTTTGCTGATTACATTTAAATTTGGGGCTACAGCTTGTTACCTACAACTTTGAGATGCTAAGATAATGCAATTTTAAATGCCCACGGGTTTTACTTGTTTTGGAGACAGACAGGGTCTCATTCTGTCACCCAGACTAGAGTACAGTGGAACAGTCATGGCTCACTGCAGCTTAAGCTCACTGCCTGGGCTCAAGGGATCTCACTCCAGCCTCCCAAGCGGCTGAGACTGCACCACCACAGGTATACATCACCATACCTGGCTGATTTTTTAAATTTTTTCTAGAGATAAGGTCTCGCTATGTTGCCTAGGCTGGTCTCATACTCCTGAGTTGAAGCATTCCTCCCACCTCCGCCTCCCAAACTGTTGGGATTACAGGTGTGAGCCACCATGCCCAACATCCACTGATCTTCAACTCTCACATGTTGGGCATAAGAAGTCACTATGTAATTGTTACTGGAAAGCAAGATTTAATGAACAATTCTGACTATGAAAAATGGCTCTGTTTGTTCTGTAAATACTCATTTAGAAAAGTGACAGTTGTGAACCTCAAAAGTATTTCTAAAAATGTAAATATGTATTAATCCTTGTATCTTTTATGGTAATTTTGCATATTGATATGAATTATATAAAACTGTTTAAAAGGTATCCTTGAATTACTGACCACCCATACATGTCTATTGTTACCAGGTTTTACAATGCAAATTTTCTCTAATACCTGGGTTTAATACAGCTCACATCACTGAATTTTACAAGAGTTTAAATGGGTTAATATACAGGTTTTGTTATAATAAAGTTACTGATTAAATTAGCTTTGAATAAGTGTCGTTTTTTGAAGTTCTCCAGTATCACTTTGCTCGCAATAAACATGAATTGAAGTCCTAAAAAGACCTCTGAAAAAGTACCATACTTTGCTTGTCATTTAGCAGACGTTACTCAATTCTAGTTAAGTAACCTTTTCTGGATTAGATATATATCCAAATTCTATTACATACTGTTAGCTTGTTATTAATAAAGCAATATTGAGTAAGAAACCCTACATTTGAATTACCTATTTCAACTATCTGGTGGTGGCACAGCTACCAAATAGTGACAATGAAGGCCAAGGAATAGATTTTATTAGGATTCTGTCTCTTCTTAGAGCCCACAGTACAGTAGTCTTACAGGCTCATGAAGAACACTTTAATCCATGGCCCAAGACCAAGTAACTGCAATGAAACGGACAAACTATCACAGTTAAAGATGTGCTAGAACAATGAAATTTTAAAGAACATGGAAATCAAATTAGCTTCATAAACAGTTAAATCCCAAACCAATTCTGATGCTATTAAGTGCCCTGCATTATCATTAAAAACTAAGAAAGACTTACTGTCCAAAGTATTTGTTAATTGTTTATTTATCAAGAGGAACTATTTCTTAGCCCACATATTCATGTGTCATAGTTCAGGAGTCAGTGACAAACTTCTAGGTAATCCAACCTGAAGAAATTCTGTGAAGAGAAACACAAAGGCTAAGTTAGTGATAAACACTCTCTCAATACTCACCATCTTTGAGGATCAATTGAGGTCTATTCCTACTAGTAGACTTCACACCTTGATCACTCACCCTTAGCCACAGAAAAAGCACAGTTCAGGCTACCTGGACTCCAAGTTTCACTCTCCTTTAAGCTCCTTTAAGCTCCCTGACCACTCTGAATAGCCTCTTTTCCATTTTGGGCATACCACACCTTACTGTCATTGCTTGTGTGCATTGAACAAATTCTGCTTTTTTCCTTCTCCTCAATTCTACGCCCACCACTACCCCCACCCCACCGCCACTGCCCCTTATTTAGCCACATATTGTTTCTGTTCCAAGCCATATTTTTGTTCCTGTCTCCAAATGTTCTCTCATAAAAATAGTAAAAATCTAACAAAGTTAGCCTATTAATATCTTCTGATTATAAAACGCATGCTCCCTGTAAATTTTGAAAATTTCAAAGTTAAAGCAGATATGTTAAGATTATAAACAACTATTAGTATTTTCTTGATCTTTTTTCCTTAATACACATGATACCCAACTTATGATGGTTTGACTTACAATTTTTTGACTTTCTAATGGATTTTCTGGGGTCTTACATGCATTTTTGACTTATGATATTTTCAACATACAAGGTTTATTGGGATGTAACCCCCATATATATAGTGCAACTGAAATGCTTATTTAGGAATACTGCCAAAATAACAGTTTCACATTCTCTGTGTCACAGCAAACTCATTTACAAGGCATAAACCCAGACTGAAGTGTCAAACAGAGACTTTACATTGTTCTTTTTTGTTAAATATACACATAAGATTCCAGAGTAGGAAGTCTCATCAGGTACTTCATACATGCTATCAAATCAATTTAGATGACTTTTCATCAGCACAGCAGTCCGTCCTTTTCTAGATACAGAACTTTAATTCACACTGTCCATGAGGCATAAGGACCTTGTGAATACAACAGACCAAACCAGACCTATGGAAAGCCAGCTAGTCACTCGTGGACACCCACCTAACAAACTATAGTGTCCCAAATACTTTTTTTTTTAAAAAGTGACTTCTAAAAGTGTAACATTCATAATGCCAATCTAACAATTAATAGTATAACCTATAAAAATGATTTTAAACATAAAAAGTAGTTTCATGTCAGCAAGATAGACTGTGAAGCTCCAGGTCCCCAAACCTCCACAAAAAATAATGAGTAAACATATGGACCAAAAATTTTAAAAAGTTTAGCTTTGTAAGAACTCTAGAAACCAGTTGAGCAGCAACCAAAGGAACCACCTAACCAAGAAAAAGTCACACTCAAAGTAGCAGGAAATGGCATTTTTGCTCACTCTTGCCAAACGCCCTCCTCAGTGCAATACAGTCAGAAGAAAACTACCCTGGTCTCTTCCCTTAGGACATAAAGAATGAAACTGGCCTGCAATGTTCTGGTTTGTATGGAGCTGCCCAAGGGACTGCTTTCTGTCTTGCCTGAATCAGAGTGCTAATGGGAACAATGGCATAGTTTGGACAGGAGGTTGGAAAGAGCTGAAAGCAATAATGGGTACCATGGCATGAGTGAGCTGCAGGGGAACACAGACCTACAGAAACCTGTGGGCAAGAGAGCAGAGGCAAAAGAATACAACAGAACAGCTAAGACTCCAAGAGGAAGCTGGAGGCAAACTCAGGAAAACTAAGAAAAACTAAAGGCAGCTGTGTATAGGAGGAAACTAAAACTAATGCATATGCACAGGCCCAGGGAAGATGGCATCCCCAGAAAAAGTTTGAGAGGACACCAAGCCTTTATGGTGCGCTAATCAGTGAAGGCCTTTCCATGCACGGAGCCAGTCTGCACAGGGAGAGGTAGCTGGTTTTGCAAATGCCTGAATTTCACAAAAGATCACAAGGCACATAAAGAAATACAGAAACATGAACAATTGAAAGAAACAAATCTCCACAAACCAACCCTGAAGAAACAGAAGCTGCTGACTTACTCTAAAAAACTTAAGAAAAACTATCTAAAAAATGCTCAATGAGCTAAAGGAGAATGTGGACAACTAAGCAAAATTAGATAAACATTATATAAACAAGTGAGAATATAAACAAAGAGAAAAAGATTTCTAAAAACCAAACACACTCTGGAGGTGAAAAATATAGTAACTGAATGGGGGGAGAAGGGGTAGGAATCACTAGAGGGATTTAACAGCAGACTCAGGCAGAGGAAAGAATCAGGAAACTTGAAGACAGATCATTTGAAGTTATCAAGTCTGAAGAGCAGACCAGACATGGTGGTTCATGCCTGTAATCCCAAAACTTTGGGAGGCCAAGGTGGTAAGATCACCTGAGCCTAGGAGTTCAAGACTAGCCTAGGCAACATGGTGAGACCCCATCTCTATAAAATTAAATTTTTAAAAGTCTGGAAGAGAAAAAAAAAAAGTAACTAGCTTAAGACATCTGACTACACCAAGCAGACCAATATAGGTATTATGGGAGTCCCAGAAAAGAAAAAGGGCAGAGAGCTTAAAAAACCACACAAAACACCTGTCAAATGAGAATAATACATCCCACAAAACAGTCCTTCAAAAATGAAGGAGAAATTCCCAGATAAAAAAGTCAAAGGAGTTTTATCATTAGATTTGCCTTACAGAAATGCTAAAGGGAATCCTTCAAGTTGAAACAAAAAGGACACCAGTCAGTAACTCAAAGTCATGTGAAAATATAAAGTTCTCTGGCAAAGAATACAGAAACTTGTATTAAAATTTGGTTTGTGCCAGGTACAGTGGCTCATGCCTGTTGTCCCAGCACTTTGGGAGGTCCAGGCAGGCAAATCACTTGCGGTCAGGAGTTCAAGACCAGTCTGGCCAACACGGTGAAATCCCATCTCTACTAAAAATATAAAAATTAGCTGGGCACAGAGGGGCGCATCTGTAATTCAAGCTACTCGGGAGGCTGAGGCATGAGAATTGCTTGAACCCACGAGGTGGCAGTTGCAGTGAGCCGATATTGCATCACTACATTCCAGCCTGGGTGACAGAGTGAGACTCCATCTCTTTAAAAAAAAAAAAAAAAATTGGTCTGTAAATTCACTTTTAATTCTTTTATAGGATTTAAAAGACAAAAGCATAAGATCTATAGGTCCATTGGATACATAATATATAAACACATAATGTGTGATACCAGTAACACAGGAGAAGAGGGTGGGTGGTGTAAAGGAGCTGAGTTTTTATATTCAATTGAAGTTGTTATAAGTTTAAAATAAATCATTATAACTTTAGCATATTTCACGTAATTCCCATGGTAACCACAAAGAAAATACTGAATACAAAAGGAAAGACTGAAACATGTCACTATAAAAGAATGAGGAAAGAAATGAGGGACAAAGAAGCTGTAAGACATACAGAAAACAAAATGGCAATACTGTGTCTTTATCAGTAATAACCTTAAATGTAAATGGATTAAACTCCCCAAAAGACAACGACAGAATGGATTAAAAACCTGGATCCAATTATATGCTGTCTACAAGACTCACTGTAGATATAAGGACACACAAGATGTAAGACTCATTGTAGATGTAAGCTGAAAGTGAAAGGGTGGAAAAAGGTGTACCACACATATAGTAACCAAGAGAACAGGGGTAGATACACTAAATGGGACAAAATAGACCAAGTCTAAAATATTACAAGAGACAAACAAGAACATTCTATAATTTAAAAAGATTAATTCTAGATCTAGCAATTATAAATACATATGCACCAAACATCAGAGCTCTAAATATATGAAGCAAACACTGACAGAATTGAAGGGAGAAGCAGACAGCTCTACAATAGCAGTGGAGGACTTCAATACCCCACTTTCAATAACTGACAGAACAACTAGACAGAAGGATTAATAAGAAAACACAGGACTTGAACAACACTATAAATCAACTGGACTTAACAAAACACTCCATCTAACAACAGAATACACATTTTTCCCAGGAGCACATGGAACATTCTCCAAGACAAACCATATTTTAGGTCACAAAATAAGTCTTAAATTTTAAAAGACTGGAAATCATACAAAGTATCTTTTCTGATCACAATGGCATGAAACTAGAAATCAAAAGCCAACGGAAAAGAGGAAAATCCACAAATGTGTTTCAGTTAAACAGACTCTAACAATCAATAAATTAAAAATAAATTACAAGGAAATTTTAAAAGAAAAACTATATCAACCTAAGAACTAGAAAAAGAGGAATTAAACCCAAATGTATCTGAAGTAAATAATATTAGAGATAAACAAAATAGACTACAATAGAGAAAAATCAAAGCCAACAGTCAGTTCTTTGAAAAGATCAAATCGACAAACCTTTAGTCAGACTAATAAAAAAGAGAACCACCAAATAACAGAGGGAACATTACAACTGATTGTACAGATCTAAAAGGAGTGAGAATGCTATGAACAATTACATGTGAGAAAACGAGATGACCTAGAAGAAACAGAAATACACAACTCAAAAAAGAAAATTTTGCGGGGGGTGGGGACAGCATCTCCCTCTGATACCTAGGCTGGAGTGCAATGGTGCAATCACTGCTCACTGCAGCCTTGACCTCCCAGGCTCCGGTGATCCTCCCAGGTAGCTGGGACTGCAGGCATGCGCTATCACACACATTATTTTTTGTTTTGTTTTTTTTTGTAGAGACGGGGTTTCACCATGCTGCCCAGGCTGGTTTCAAACTCCTGGGCTCAAGCAATTCACCTGCTTTGGCCTCCCAAAGTGCTGGGATTAGAGGCTTTATAAGCTACCACACCCACCCTAGAAATCCTAACCAAGACTGGATCAGGAAAAAAGTAATCTGAATATCTATAACTAGTAGGAATTTTTAGTCAGTAGCCAAAAACTTCAACAAAGAAGAGTCCAAGACTACATGGTGAATCCTACCAAACTTTTTTTGAGACAGGGTCTCATATTCTGTTATCCAGGACGGAGTACAGTGCTGTGATCATAGCTTACTGCAGCCTTAAACTCCCGTGCTCGAGTGAACCTCCTGCCTCAGCCTCCCAAGTAGCTGAGACTACAGGCATGCACCACCACACCCAGCTAATTAAAAAAAAAAATATATATATATATATTTATTTATTTATTTTTGTTTGTTTGTTTGTTTGGTAGAGACGGGGTCCTGCCATGTTGCACAGGCTGATCTTTAACTTCTGGGCTATAGTGATCCTCCTTTCTCAGCCTCCCAAAGTGTTGGGATTATAGGCATGAGCCACCATGCCCAGACCTCTATGAAACCAGCACCAATCCCCCTCAAGTTTTTCCAAAAACAGTGAGAAAAAGGGAACATTTCCACATTCATTCTATAAGGCCAGCATTATCCTGATACCAAAGACAAACACACAAGAAAACTATAGGCCAAATCCTTGAACACAGATGCAAAAAATCCTCAACAAACCACTAGCAAACCAGATTTGACAGTGCATTAAAAGAATCATACACCATGATTAAGTGGAATTTATCCCTAGGATGCAAGGATAGTTCAACACATTTTGTGACATACCACACTGACAGAATGAAGGATAAAAAACACATCTCAAAAAAATGCAGAAAAAGTATTTGACAAAATTCAACATCCTTTCATGATCAAAACTATCAACAGAAGGAATGTACTTCAACCCAACCATGGCCAAAAAGGACAAACTAATATAGTGAACACAGAAAACGTGAAAGCTTTTCCTCTAAGACCTAGAACCAGACAAGGACGCCCACTCTTGCCACTTCTATTCAATGTAGTACTGGAAGTCCTAGCCAGAGCAATAAGGCAAGAAGGAATAAGCAGCATCCAAAAAGGAAAGGAATAAGTAAAACTATCTGTTTACAGATCACATAATCTTACCTCCAGCAAACCCTAAAGATTTCTCACACAGAAGTGTCAGAATAAATCAAAATAAATGAATTCTGCTAAGTTGGAGGATACAAAAATCAGCTCTTTCTATACACCAACAAGAAGGAAATAAAGGAATCCCTAAAAAAGGAAATTAAGAAAATAATTCGGCCGGGCGCGGTGGCTCAAGCCTGTAATCCCAGCACTTTGGGAGGCCGAGGCGGGTGGATCACGAGGTCAGGAGATCGAGACTATTCTAGCTAACATGGTGAAACCCCGTCTCTACTAAAAATACAAAAAACTAGCAGGGCGTGGTGGCAGGCGCCTGTAGTCCCAGCTACTTGGGAGGCTGAGGCAGGAGAATGGCGTGAACCTGGGAGGCGGAGCTTGCAGTGAGCCGAGATCCAGCCACTGCACTCCAGCCTGGGAGACACAGCGAGACTCCGTCTCAAAAAAAAAAAAAGAAAATAATTCTATTTATAATAGCACAAAAATAATACTTAGGAATGTATTTAACCAGGAATATGAAAGACTTAAACACTGACCTAGATGAAACAGATATATACCTGTACACTGCTAAAAAAAAACTAGCAAATCTCAATCATGCAATCCCCACAGTAAATACAGAATATACATAAAGAAAATACAGAATATACACAAACGGAAATAAGAAGGAAACTGAAACACGTCACTGTAAAATAAAGGAAAAGTACGGAAAGAAATGTGTGTCCTTGGACACACTGCTTTGATTACAGTAGTCTCCTTTTATCCAGGGTGGTATGTTTCAAGACACCTCCAGTGAATTCCTGAAACTAGGGATGGTACCAAACCCTACATAGCTATGTTTTTTCCTACATACACACACACCTATAATAAAGTTTAACTAATAAATTAGGCATAGTAAGAGATTAGCAACAATAAAAGAAATTAAAGATTCAAAATACTGCTAAAAGAAATTAAAGATACAAAGAAGAAGAAAGACATCCCATGTTCATGGATTGGAATACTTAATAGTATTAAGATGTCCATACTACCAAAAGTAATCTACAGATTTAATGCAATCCCTATCAAAATCCCAATGGCATTTTTTACAGAAATAGAAAAATCCATCCTAAAATTCACACTCTTAAGAAATCCCAAATAGCTAGAACACTCTCGGGGCAGGGGGAAAAAAAGAACAAAGCTGAAGGACTCACACTTACTGATTTTAAAGCATACTACAAAGCTACAGTGTAGCAGTCATCCCTTATTTGTGGTTTAACCTTCTACCACTTCAGTTACCCACAGTCAACTGCGGTTCAAAAACAGGTGAGGACAGTACAACAAGATATTGAGAAATCACATTCACCTTTTATTACTATACACTATCATTGTTCTATTTTGTTATTGTTGCTAATCTCTTACTATGCCTAATTTATGAGTTAAACGTCATCATAGGTAGGTATGTATAGGAAAAACAACATAATATATATAGGATTTGGTACTATCTGTGGTTTCAAGAATCCACTGGAGGGGTCTTGAAACATATCTTAGATAAAACAGACTAGTGTAATCAAAACAGTGTAGTACTGACCTGAAGACAGACATACAGACTAATGAAATAGACAGCCCAGAAATAAACTCTCACATTTAGAGTCAAATGATTTCACCAAGGTACCAAGACCATTCCATGGAAGAGGACAATCTTAACAAATGATTTTGGGAAAACTGGATACCACATGTAAAAGAATACAGTTGGCTCTTTACACCCTAGACAAAAATTCAAGTGAATCAAAGATCTAAAGACAAGAGCTAAAACTATAAAAGTCGTAGAAGAACACATAAAAAAGACTTCATGACACTGGATTTGGCAATGACTTACTGAATATGACACTAAAAGCACATAAAACAAAAGTAAAAATAAATTCGACATCAAAATTTCTGTGTATCAAGGGACACAAGAGTGAAAAGGCAACCTATGAAATGGGAGAAAATATTTACAGATCATATCTAATACGGGGTTAATATCCAGAATATATACAGAACCACAACTTAACCAGTAAACAAAAAACCAAATTTGAAAATGAGCAGAACTGAATAAACTTCTCCAAAGATAACATACAAATGGCATATAAGCACATGAAAAGATGCTCAACATCACAAATAATCAGGAAAATGCAAATCAAAACAACAATGTGATAACACCTCATAACTATTAGGATGGCTACTATCAAAAATACCAAAATTATGCCAGGCACAGTGACTCACGCCTGTAATCCCAACACTTTGGGAGGCCAAGGTAGATGGATCACCTGAGCCCAGGAATTCAAGCCCAGCCCAGGTAATACAGTGAAACCCTGTCTCTACTACAAATACAGAAGTTAGCCAGGTATGGTGGCACATGCCTACAGTGCCAGCTTCTTGGGAGGCTGAGACAGGAAGATCCCTTGAGCCTGGGAGGTTGAGGCTGCAGTGAGCCATGATCGCACTACAGCCTGGCTGACAGAAGGAGATCCTATTAAAAAAAAGTGTTGGGGAGGATGGAAAGAGAGTAAAATGGTACAGCCACTATGGAAAATGGTATGGCAGTTTCTTAAGAGATTAAAAATCCTATGATTCCAGCAATTCCACTTTTGAATATATCCCAAAAGAACTGAAAGCAAGGCCTTGAAGGAATATTTGTATGCCTAGGTTCACAGTATCACTCGCAACAATCAAAAAGTGGAAGCAACCCAAGCGTCTACTGATGGATGAATGTATAACAATGTGACACAACTAAAATAGATCATTCAGCTTTAAAAAGAAAGGAAACTTTGACACATGCTGTAACATGGATGAACCTTGAGTACATTACACTAAGTGAAATAAGCCAGTCACAAGAAAACAAATACCATATGATTCTACTTACGAGATGCCTGGGGTAGCCAAATTCTTAGAAAGTAACACAGTGGGCCGGGCGCGGTGGCTCAAGCCTGTAATCCCAGCACTTTGGGAGGCCGAGACGGGTGGATCACGAGGTCAGGAGATCGAGACCACCCTGGCTAACACGGTGAAACCCCGTCTCCACTAAAAACTACAAAAAACTAGCCGGGTGAGGTGGCGGGCGCCTGTAATCCCAGCTACTCGGGAGGCTGAGGCAGGAGAATGGCGTGAACGTGGGAGGCGGAGCTTGCAGTGAGCTGAGATCTGGCCACTGCACTCCAGCCTGGGCGACAGAGCGAGACTCCGTCTCAAAAAAAAAAAAAAAGTAACACAGTGGCTGCCAGGGTCTAAGTGGAGGTGTGAATGGGTTGCTTAATGGATATAGTTTCAATTCCATAAGATGAAGAATTCTGGAGACTGGTTGCACAATGTGAATGAACTTAACACTACTAAACTGTACAATTAAAAATGGTTAAGACGGCAAATTTTATCTTACAGATGCTCCTTAACTTACCATCAGGTTACATTCTGATAAAACCATCATAAGTTTAAAATATCTTAAGTTGAAAATGCATTTAATACACCTAACCTACATCATAGCTTAGCCTTCCCTATCTTAAATGTGCTCAGAACACTTATGTTAGCCTACAGTTGCAGAAAATCATCTAACACAAAGCCTAGCTTATAACAAAACAATGAGTATCTCACACAACACTACCAAGTACAGCATCAGTTGTTTACCCTTGTGATTATGTGTTTGACTGGGAGATGTGGTCATTGCTGCTCCCCCACATCACAAAAGTATTGTGCCACTTATTGCTCATGTGGACAAAGATCAAAATCCAAAGTATGGTTTCTACCAAATGTGTATCACTTCCACACCATCGTAAAGTCAAAAAATCTTAAGTCCAAACATTGTAAGTCACGGACAGTCAACTGTATTTGCATTTTACCACAATTAGAAAATTTTTTAAGTAACTTCAAATAACCATATTACCTTTATATTCCAAGATTACTTTACACTCTGAAAGATACCAGCCTTCCTCATCTCCTCAAAATCTTTCATGGCATCATAGTTTCTGTAGAAATCTGCGTATGCCTTCTTTCTTTTATCAGCCACACCAACCTAAAAAGCAACCATCCATTAGTTTATTTTTCAGATTACTGGAAATTAGATTTCAGATTATAATATCTAAAGACAAGGTAGCACATATGTTTTTGTTCATCCTTTAATTTAAACCCTACATTTTCTAAGCGGTGGAGGTGGTGACAGATAAAAAGGAAGACAAAGTGTAAGAAATAGCTACATTTGCAAAGAAAAGAATGGGGGAATAAGGTGTCTATTTTGTTTTGTTTGAGGTTTCCGTACACAAAGGGCGGGCAGGGTTCAACAGAGAAAGAACAAATGAAGATCCAAGACAAAATACGGAAAGTTTAAGTGATTTTACTATTATTATCTTTTTAAACATGGGGTCTCCCTCTGCAGAAATACACAAAAATCATGCTACCTGATGGAGTAATGTAGTAAGAATCCTTTACCTGACCAGTTTTACTACTTCACTTCTACTTTAATTACCAATTTCTTCCCAGTAATAAATCAAGAGGCAGAGGCCGGGTGTGATGGTTCATGCCTATACTCCCAGCACTTTGGGAGGCCGAGGGGGGCGAATCACGAGGTGAGGAGTTGGAGACCAGCCTGGCCAACATGATGAAACTCCATCTCTACTAAAAATACAAAAATTAGCCGGGCATGGTGGCGGGCAGTTGTAATCCCAGCTACTTAGGAGGCAGAGGCAGGAGAACTGCTTGAACCCGGGAGGCCTCGGAGGGTTCAGTGAGCCGAGATTGTGACACTGCACTCTAGCTTGGGTGACAGAGCAAGACTGCATCTTGAAAAAAATAAAATAAAAAGAGGCAGAAGCGCAAGTGCTGGGGGCCATCATTACACATACGGTTAATTTGGACTCTCCCTACTTCATTTAGTCATCCATCTGACAGACAGGAGACAGCCAAGGGTCCTTGAAAAACAGCCTGAAGGCTGAAAGGCCAGACTGTTGGACCCAGATCCCACGACACTGAGGGAGAACTGCACATTTGCCTGCCCTTTCAGGACTGATTCTTTTTGACTAATGGCCACAGGCACACTGGGGGTAAATAGGGTGGAGCCAGAAGTTGCACCTTTTGCAGTGGGAAGGACCCTAGTCTTTTCAGCTCCTGTGTGGTGGCCTGGTATTCAATCTGTGAGGTGGGGGCCTGTTAGCAGGACACCCCCTCACTTTGCCGGGTCTGTTTTATTTGTTCCTTTTCACCCAATAAATTCAGCCCTCCTCACCCTTCAGTGTGTCCATGTGCCTAATTTCTCCTGGTTGTGACACAAGAACCCAAATTTAGCTAAAGTAAGGAGCAAAAACTCTGCATCACATCCATCCCTTCTACAAACATTTACTTCATGCCCACTATATATGCCAGGCAGCAGGAATCTCAAGCACCAAAAGATTTTTTGTGCTTGTCTCTCCAAAGAGTACCAAAGCATAGGTCCACTTACTGCTTTCTCAGTGTTCCATCTCCTCTTTGCTCTCCCAGTTCTCCCTAATTTTTTTTTTTTGAGACAGTCTGGCTCTATCACCCAGCCTGGAGTGCAGTGGTGCGATCTCGGCTCACTGCAACCTCCACCTCCCCAATTTTTTTGTTGTTTTTTGTTTTTTTTTGAGACAGAGTCTTGCTCGTTGCCCAGGCTGGAGTGCAATGGTACGAACTCGGCTCACTGTAACCTCCACCTCCTGGGTTCAAGCAATTCTCCTGCCTCAGCCTCCCAAGCAGCTGGGATTACAGGTGCCCGCCACCACGCCCAGCTAATTTTTTTGTATTTTTACTAGAGATGGGGTTTCACCATGTTGGCCAGGCTAGTCTCAAACTCCTGACCTCAGGTGATCTGCCCGCCTCTGCCTCCCAAAGTGCTGGGATAACTGGCGTGAGTCACTGCACCTGGCCTCGCCTCCCAATCTTGGCTGACACCTCTGCTTCCCAGGCTCAAGCCAACCTCTCACCTCAACCTCCCGAGTAGCTAAGGCCACAGGCATATCATGTATTTTTGTAATTTTAGAAGAAATGCGGCCGGGTGCGGTGGCTCACGCCTGTAATCCCAGCACTTTGGGAGGCCGAGACGGGTGGATCACGAGGTCAGGAGATCGAGACCATCCTGGCTAACACGGTGAAATCCCATCTTTACTAAAAAATAAAAAAAAAATTAGCTGGGCATGATGGTGGGCACCTGTAGTCCCAGCTACTCGGGAGGCTGAGGCAGGAGAATGGTGTGAACCCAGGAGGCGGAGCTTGCAGTGAGCTGAGTTCATGCCACTGCACTCCAGCCTGGGCAACAGAGCAAGACTCCGTCTCAAAAAAAAAAAAAAAAAAGAAAAGAAAAGAAATGCCCAGCTAATTTTTGTATTTTAGTAGAGACATAGTTCCTCCATATCGCCTCGGCCTCCCAAAGTGCCAGGATTACAGGCGTGAGCCACCAGACCCAGTCCCTCTCCCTAACTTGCAAGGCTCAGATTGCACCTCCTCTATCAAATAGCTATGACCCACAATAACTGTGACCCACAACGTCCCCCCAAACCATTCTTTCAGTTATGTTCTATCTTGCAATGTCTTCTAATTTTTTTTTTTTACCTCCCCAACTTGACTCTAAGCTCTTTAAGAACAGAGATTTAGATACACGCCTTTTGTTTCCTCCAAAGCACTTGGAACTCTACATTACCTAACACTGTACTGAATTTTATACACTGCCTCTTATTCAACAGATCCTTTTAATAACCTATTTGTGTGTCCAGCACCCAACAATAGAGTGCCACAGTAAACAAGAGACATGGTACCTGCCTTAATGAGGCTCACAGCCCAGGAAAGAATATAAACACTAAACAAAAATCAAGTACAAAGAGTTTAAAAGCAAAGCTCTGAATTCTTTCATGGGGTATTATGACAAGAATAATAAACATATTATCAAAAGCATTTTTATGGAAAAGTTGTAAATATGCAGCCTTTGATTAAAAATAAAGGGCATAACAAAATCTACATCAGGCAGAGTGTTAAAATGCAATTCTGTGACAATTACTCAAAGTGTCAAACAGAACCATAATCAGCTGACCATTCCTGCACGTTCCACACTCATGGATTCAGCCAACCAAGGACTGAAAACATTTGGGGGAAAAAAAAAAATGCTACAAAATTAAAAATACAGTATAAACTACTGACATAGCATTTATATTGCATTAGGCATTATAAGTACTCTAGAGATGATTTAAAGTATCGTCAGAGCTCCTGAACCAATCCCCCATGGATAGAGGGGCAGAGCCCCTCTGCATACTAGCTTCTGTAATGGGTTGAATTGTGTTTGACCAAAATTCTTGTGTTTAAGTCCTAACTCTCAGTACCTCAGAATCTAAACGTTTTTGGAAATAAGGGCTTTAACAAGATAACTAAGTTAAAATGAGGCCATTTAGGGTGGGCCCTAATCCAATTTGACTGAAATTCTTTTAAGAAATTCAGCAAGCCAGGTGCGGTGGCTCACGACTGTAATCCCAGCAAGGAGGCCAAGGCAGGTGGATCCCTTGAGCTCAGGAGTTCAAGACCAGCCTGGACAACGTGACCAACTCTGAAACCTCATCTCTATAAAAAATATAAAAATTAGCCAGTTGTGGCGGTGTGTACCTGCAGTCCCAGGTACTGGGTGACAGAGTAAGACCCTGTCTCAAAGAAAGAAAGAAAAAGGAAAGAAGGGAAAAAAATGAAAAGAAGGGCAGAAAAAGGAAAGGAAGGAAGGAAAGGAAAAGGAAAAGAAGTTCAGCCACAGATATATGCCCACAGAGGACCCTGTGAAGACAAAGAAGGGAGCCATCTACAAGCCAACAGAGGCCTCAGAAGATATCAACCCTGCCAACAGATTTCCAGCCTCCTGAACTGCGAGCAAATTTAAGGCACCCAGTCTATGGTTCTTTGTTATGGCATTCCAGCAAACTAACAGGTTTCATTTAAAGATGGAGGACAAGCTATAGTTCCTGTCACACTGAAGTGAGTGCAGAAAGGGTTAGAAGGAAACACATTACAAGGGGGATTTCTTTAAAAGATTTTTCAACCAAAAACACATACTTTATGACCTCTGGCACAAAGTAAAAAACATACATACCTTATACAAAGCTGCAACTCCCAGGGATAGCACGAATGCTGTAACCATATGAAATCGCAGACGCCTGGCCAGAAGGCCACGCATCTGAGGTTTTGGCAAAACTTCAGGTGCCATGGTAGTTACTCTCCTTGATACGTATGCCAACCTTAAGAGATTCAGAAAATATGATTAAGTACAGAGTTTATTTAAGCCATAAACTTGAGAATGGCCACCTGGAAGCATTGGAGTTGTCCTGAATATAAACTCCGATTAGCAGCATTGAGAATGGCCACCTGGAAGCATTGGAGTTGTCCTGAATATAAACTCCGATTAGCAGCAGGTACAAATGAAATGTTTTTCTTTTTTGGCAGAAACAGGGTCTAGCTATGTTCCCCAAGCTGGTCTTAAAAACTCCTGCCCTCAAGTGATCACCCTACCTCGTCTTCCCAAAGTGCTGGGATTCCAGCCTACAAGTGGGTTAAGAAAAAATTAGAGGCAATTCCTAAATTGTTCATCAAGAATTTACATTTAAATAACATAAACTATTGACTGACTAAACGCTGTCATTTGTGTCACAAATCCAGGAATAATATTTGGGTTGAGACATGGGTGAGGGACAGGACTGAAATCCAATACTCAGGTCTCTGGGCCCTGCATACCTCATGTAGCTCTCCCTACTGAGCTTTTTTTCCTTTCTCGGGTAAAATAATAAAAGAAAAACTCTGAAGAAAATAACATATCAAAAGAATTCTCATGCACAGTACATTTTACTACCTAGAGAATCACAGCACGACAGTGGATGGAGTACTCTCACAAAGCCTAAGCTGTCTCTTGGCTTAGCCTGTTTCACCTCTCCCTTCCCCCGGCCCCCATACACTGAGCGACTACCGTAAATAAAGGCGACAAACTGCGGCACACTAGTAATGGGCGAGCAAAGGCAACAAAAATCTTTCCCAATAAGAAAAATAAGCACTGGCTCCACATTGTAATTAACGATGGCAAACCCATTTATGGAACATTTACTCTTCTAAAAATTTTCTGTCCACTCGTTAAACCTTCGCGACAACCCTGTCAGATCATGAGGCAGGTGTTTTCCACGGTCACACGATATACCATTAAAACTTGGACGGGAACGCGGCAATTGCCATGAGGTCCCAAATTCCCTAACTACTCCTTTGCCCAGCCTCACCCGGGGGCCCAAAGACCCTTGCGTTCCTGCAGGCCTTCAGCTAACGCGGCCGGGAGTAGGATGGGAAGCCGTGGGGCGAGGGAGGTTGCAGGAAGCCCATCCTTTCCCTCCTGCGACAGGCACGGTGACCCTCCTCCAGCTTCCCAGCTCTAACTTAAAACGCTGCCACACAGCGAGCGACGCTGCCAGCTGCTTCGCCTACACTGACCCTTGCGCCTCACGACCAGCTGCAGAAGAAACCACTACCTCTTTTCTCACAGGAGAAACACCGGGGCCAAATAGATCAAATGACCTCACCAAGGTCACGATGGCTGGGAAAAACCGCAGCGGGTACCGGCCCCGGGTCGGCTCACTCCGAAGCCCGCTGGGTCCTCGAGGGTCCCGCAGCCCACCCGGCTTCGGTGGGGCCGTCGCAACCCACCTGGTCCCTGTGGTCCACCCGCCGCCCTCCTGAGGCCGCAGCGGAAGCGTGAGGGGGTAGATGCGGAAGAGAGGCCCGAAGCTTCACCACGGCCGAGACACAGAATCACGACTAAATCCGAGGCAGAGAGAAAGCGGGAGGCTGCCGTTGTCACAGCCCGAAGTGTCGGGGTGGAGATGCAAAACGGACCACACTTACCTCAATACCAACGGCCTTCCCAACTAAAGGAAAAATGGACGGCACTCCAGCCGCGCGCAGGCGCGGAATAACAGTGCACTGAGAGAACCTGGCGACGGTAGCCGAAGGAGTTCAAAAGACTTCTAGCGCGCCCACCGCAGGTGACAGCCGACGTTCATTTTCGTGGTCTGCTTCTTTCCTGTGTGACCTTGCAAAACGGGCTTGACCTCCTCATTTATCGACCTCTTTATCTTCTTAGTAAATTGAAGATATTAGTCGTACTCATACACAGAGTCCCAAACCATGTGCACAAACCGACATTTTAATTATAACCAACCTTATGCGAATAACCGTTTGGCTTGGGTAAAAGGTGAAAAAGCCGACTTCTAGGAGCTCAGAGCCCAGAAGATGAGAAAGATAAACAGATTAATACCGATCCCATGAAGTGGGCACTACCACAGAGACGTGGCCCAGCTACTGCAGAAGCAATTCTCTACCTGGCAAAGCTGAGGACGTTTTGATAGAGGGGCGGTTTTTGTGTGGGGTTCTTGAGAAAGCACAAGGGTTTTGAAGGAAGGCAACTGGAAGTTCGTGGAAAGTGGTGTAGAAGGGTGAGGCTCTTGTGCCTTAATCATGCCAAGCTGTTTTTATTGAAATAACCTGAATTATTTAAGTCAACCCATCAAGCCTTGTGGAAGATAACTGGGACACAACAGATGCATGATATTGAGTCAATACACTGAGTACCTACTACGTGCCAGATTCTGCTAAACAAGAGGACAGAGGAGGCTCATTCTGGTCAGGGAGTCTTTGTCCTCAACCTATTAACAAACACTCTGGAGGTGAAACCTTTCAGCCACGAAGAAAGGTACTAATTGAGACTCAGAAGTAGGTTTGGACTTTACCAGCGTTTTTCAGGCCTCTTATCAAGCAAGGGTCTACCCAGCTGAAAATCTTTGCATGGAATTTGTCCAAAGAGTAATTTGTTTCTACTCTCTTTCCTTCCCCACCCCACCATTGGCCCAAAGAAGAAGTGGTGAACTTCAGAGTTCACACGGATTAGTGTATGTGAAACCATCAGGGAAAGCTTCAGACAAGACGTGGAAGAGATGGAAGCAGACCTGAGTTTCAGTCTAATGGAAAGTCTGGAAAACTGGAGAAATTGGAGAGATAACATTGGCTGGGAGAAGATGGCAAAGACAGGCACACTCAGGGCACAGAGCCTGAACTGAGTGAAATACTGAGTGTTTGTTCTGTGCTTCCCTAGCTATCCAGTGAACCATAGTGAATGACTGAGGGTGACACATGAATAAAACCTGAGTGGTAGAGGTGAAGAGAGACATGTTACATATAGGTTCTGTCCTAGAACCGAACAGACCTGGATTTGAGACCCAGCTCATCAACTTGTAGCTGGCAAATTTCTTAATCTTTCTAAGTCTGCTTTCTCCTCTAAAAATAGTACCCATTTTGTTGGGTTGTGATGTAAATTAAATGGGATAATGTATATGCAGCTTGAGTATCCCTTATCTGAAATGTTTAAGACCAGAAGTGTTTCAGATTTTGGATGTTTTCAGATTTTTTAGTATTTGCAGAATACATGCCAGTTGAGCATCCCAATAGGAAAATCTGAAATCCGAAATGCTCCACCGAGAATTTCCTGGAGCACCACATCAGTGCTCAAAAGTTTTGAATTTTGGAACATTTTGGATTTCGGATTTTCAGATTAAGGGTGCTCAACCTATACAGTGCTTGACAAACAGGTCTTCTGAATATGCATTCCTCCCTGTGTACTTTTGCCTGTCCTGCATTCCTTCCATCTTCCTTTTAGTAGCAGTGTTTAATTGTCTTTCCAGTAATCAATCCTTCATCACTGCTAGCCATGTGATTCTACAATAGTCAAGTCTTATTCCAGACTGGGTGTGGTGGCTCACGCCTGTAATCCCAGCACTTTGGGAGGCCAAGGCAGGCAGATTACTTGAGCCCAGGTGTTGGAGACCAACATGGGCGACATAGTGAGACCACCATCTCCATAAAAATGTTAAAACTTAGCCGGGCATAGTGTGGTGTATGCCCATAGTCCCAGCTACTCAGGAGGCTGAGGCTGGAGGATCACTTGAGCCCAAGAGTTGCAGGCTGTAGTGAGCTATGACTGCACCATTGCACTCCAGCCAGACAGAGTGAGACCCTGGCTCTAAAAAGAAAAAGAAAAAACATTATTCCAGTTGAGCAGGCGACTCAAGAGTAGCCAAGCAATGTGGCCCATCCCCTTAGCCACAGTAATTTGTTGCGGATGGGCACAGGATTCTGGCCAGGCCAGTGAAACTCAATTCTATGACTTCTGTTGAAACTATTGGGGAAAAGGATGTCTTTTTATAGAGAGAGGAGTTTGCATTGGGTTGGAGTAGGGGTCTTGCAGATCTGTGAGAGTATAAGGCCAGAGGGTACTGTGTGCCTATAATGCACCAAGCACAGCATACGACAAAATGACATGAAAAGCCTCATGAAACTTTCATTCTAGTGAGCTTCGAGGAAAAAAACCAACAAAAATAAAAAATGTATCTGAAGGAGGTAAGTGGAATGGAAACAACAGAATAGGTATTAAGAAAGTCTGTGTGAAGAGGTATCTTTTTTGTATTGAAAGATTGATGAAGCAACCCACGAAAGAAGCCCATGATTTACACTAAACTAAAAGATGGCTCAGTGTAAAGACTGGGTTTGTTCTCCATAGCCCTAAGGAATAAAGTAGGATGGATGAGTGGAAGATACTGGGAGTTAGATATCAGTTAAGTATTCACCGTGGCTAGAAATCAATTCCTTTCAAGGTCATTCTCAACCAGAGACACATCCACCTGGGGGAGACAAGGATCCCTTAATTGGTAAATTAAGGGATTCATGTGGTAAATCCCTTAATTGGTAAAAACACGACCAACAGTCTTGTTCCCACTATGTCTTTCCATTCTGGCCTTGACAATCACCAGGTCAGCATGTTACCTTAAAATGTGTTGATAAGATGCCCTTTTTAAATACAAACTTAGGGGGAACTTGGGTCCAGGGCAGGGAAACAGCTGGTTGCATGGCAATAGTGATGCCA